TATCTAGGTGCAAAGCTCCCTAAAGCTGATGCTCATGTCTTGATGCTCTTTGATCTAGATACCAGCATGAATTGGTTGTTTGACATGATGGGGGAAAGGAATGGGAGGAAAGAGTGTATGTTGAAATATGATTCTCAGTATTGAAGTGTGCAGTCATGAGATCCCAGGAAAAAGGAATAACTGCAGTTCATGCTTTCCCAGTACTGGTTGCTCATTGTTTCCTTTCCTGATAATGCTTCCTCTCAGGACACAGCTGATCTTCCTTCTCTTTTAGAAACTGTATTGTTCACACTGTGCTACGTTGGCATTGGTGAGGCTGGACAGTAACTGTGGGAGAGCCAAATAAGCCCCATCTCAAGCTGACAGCAACCGGTTCTGCAGAAGTACAATCCCATCTCCCATTTGCAGAGAGTTGTCTCTTTGGCAATAAGAAAGCCATCCACTCTAGGGTGCTTGCATCACCTGTTACAGACACCATTCACCCATAAATCTGTGCAACATTCAGATAAACAAGGGCAGTACAAGCAGCAAGGACACCAGTTTTAGTCCTGTGATTAAGCAAATGAATTACATTTTTAATTGTCAGAGAAGAGGCCAGCACTTTATTTCATACATGAGGTTGTTTTCCAGCATAGTGAAGACCTGGTCTGCATGTGGAACTGCAATACAACAAATTGTATCAACAACCTGGAGTTGTGTGACTCTGTCCCAGGCCATCAACAGTACAAATTTGCAGGACATGACTGCTCTGTAGTGGTTCCCACTCTTCAGAAGGACAGCTGCAGCCTTTTCACAGAATCAGTCAGGTTGGAAGGGACCACAGTGGATCATCTGGTCCAACCTCCCTGCTCAAGGAGGGTCATCCTAGAGCACATGGCACAGGATTTCACCCAAACAGTTCTTGAATGTCTCCTGCAAGGGACACTCCACATCCCCTCTGGGCAACCTGTTCCAGTGTGGGGTCGCTCACACAGTAAAGTTCTTCCTCATGTTCAGGTGGAATTTCCTGTGCAGCAAAAGTTCTTCCTCATGTTCAGGTGGAATTTCCTGTGCAGCATTTTCTGCCTCTTGTCCTGTTGCTGGGCACCCCTGAGAACAGCCTGGCTCCATCCTTTTGGTACCCTCCCCTTAGACACTGACAGACATTTGTGAGGTTCCTCTCAGTTGTCTCTTCTCGAAGCTGATCAGCCCCAGCTCCCTCAGCCTTTCCTCATAACAGGGATGTTCCAGTCCCTCAATGATCTCTGTAGCTCTGCTGGACCTGCTCCAGGAGCTCCATTCTCTCATACTGAGAAGCCCAGACTAGGACACACTGCTTTTATATCTACCAATCTGTTTTGACCCAAAGCACCCTCTTTATGGTACTTCACATGCTGAAATGAGGAGGAGCAATAGCAAGCTGAAAAATGAAGTGGCTTTAAGAAGAAATATGAGGTCTTTCTGTTGGTACCAAACGGGGCTGAACTATCACCCCTGTGGGAAATAGGATGGGGTTTTAACTTCTGTCTTCCTTTGCAGTCTGTTTCTACAGCAGAAGATGCAGGCAGCTCCTGCTGCAGAGCCCCTGGGAAGCTGCAGGAATCCTGACTCACTTGTAGGAGCAATGCAGCCTCACCACTCCTCAGGACCCTCTGTAGCCACTGACTTCTTTACTGTTTGTGGTCTTCTCTTCAATGCATCTGCCACTTTTATAGGCCATGGCTTGAGTCAAATATTGCTAAATAAAATTCTCAGTTTTTATCTTTGTGGGCACTCAAAATCACATTATTTTTTGTTCTGGAGACACCCCTTTCAGATTGCCCTGCTGTTGTTCCTGCAAGAGAGAGACTGAGCTGACAACAGCTAATGAGAAGGGGGATCATGGACCTGCAAAACAACTAGAAAAGAAAACAAAGGAGGCACCAAAACCAAAAGGGAGAGAGAAAATTTGTTTTAAATCACGATAAAACTGTTGCTACAAATGTAGTACATGACAACAGGCATCTGGTGTTACTCAATGAAATATTAATGTTAGCTCTGAACATTTTGTAAGGTTTGACTATGGCCATGCTCCAGTTCTGCAGCAGTGCAACACAAACACCATCTGGCTGGATGCCCCGTGAGGGACTGCAATTACATGCTACCTATTCTTCAGAAAATTCTCCCCAAATCATTGGCTCCCACAGGTGGATAGCGAGGTTTTTTGGGGATGCTTGTTCATACACTTTCAGTGGATGTAAAAGGAAATGCATGAAACAGAATAAATCTGGAGAGTTGATCAAGAAAAATTTACAGCCAGCTTTTCTCTCTACAGGCAGCTTCAGCCATGGGCTCTTTCCCAGGGATCTTTTAACTCCTGTTGCTTTGCCAATTTTGTCCTAAATCTTCTGTGCATTCTTTAGATATGCTTTCCTTAGTCCTTCCATTCACAGTAACTTCAAGGTTGTCTATGAATAGCAAAATCACTAGCAAATGCCCTAATTTTAGGGTGACAGTTTTTACTGATCTGAAAATGTAACAGTAAAATAATTCTGAGAGGAAGTACAATTTATTAAAACAATAAAACTGTAAGCATTTACAGTCAGTTACTTAGCTACCCATAGTAGTAGGCACTGTACAGCTCTGAATGGTGCCATGTGCTACTGTAGTTAGATTTCAGAGCAGTGCCAGAAACCCTGACAGAGTGCTTACAGTCTGAAAAGTGTACGTGTGCAGAGATGCAAATTTGAAGGGCTTCATTTTTTGGAGGCATTGAGATAGGTATCCTCTGTTTACAATGTTTTATTGAAAAACAAAATCCTAATAATTTTTATTTAAATACAATTTGTAATTTTTGACTTTGTCACTCCTGTTCTAGCTGGCCAAGAATTAAACATACAGAAAAAAAAAAAAAAAGAATAAAAATTATGCATGATGAGTAAGCAAAATTTCAGATTTTATTACTGATACATTTTTTAGACTTTTGAAGTTTAATGTTGAAGTTTAGAGTAATCTAATACTTTTAAAATAACTGTTTATATACTGTTTATGATACTGTTTAGGACCTAAATGAAAGCTGTTTGGGGCTCCTACACAATAGTTTGATAGCCATTCCTTTTGGCTAATTTATGAGGAAGTTTTACTGCTAAATTGCTTGAACAGTATAGCAGGCAGATGGTTTCTGATAAAATATTAATGAAACCAGATGGTTTCTAATAAACTATTATGGAAGACTTTTGAGACATGCAAGAAATGTTATCTATTCCTAAGTCATTTATCCTTACTGTAAAAGAAATAAAGTTCTGTGGCTGCCATCTAATCTACAATTTGAAGTTAGAAGCACCAAGTTCATGCAAATTCATGCAAACTGTTCTCCATATTATTACTGTAAACATCATAGAATTATTGCATGGTTGGACAGAATGACAGAGGGGAGCCCTGTGCCACACACAGCGTGCACTACAGAAAGGCAGATGTGGTACTACCTCCCCCCATGCCAACGTCAGTGCTGAAGGCAAAGAGCTCTGAATTACAGCAAACAGGTTGTACTGAACACATCTGCCTCCTGCATCTCAGCATGGCACACTCCAGTCGTCCTTCCAAGGTACTAGAAAGTGCAGAAGTGAACTCTGTTTTCCTCATATTGGTCTGTAAAGGCAGCAGAGTTTAACCTGGCAATACAAGACAGCCTCTAAATAGTGGCCAAACTCAACGTACAGCAAAATCTTCAGATGGTCAAAGATGTCACCTGCCCATAGTTAAGAGCAGAATGGACAGAAGCTCACATGAACACATAGGGAAGCACAGCCAGAATGGTTTTCTGGCTGCTTTGAACTCACACAGCCCCTCCTGACTCACTGCACCCTCCCACTCATCTCCCCTTCTCAGGACACGGTCCCTTGCTAAGCCTGTCACTCGCTGCTGGCACAGTGGCAGGGCTGGTGACAGCTGTAACAGCAGGAGAGGGAGAAAGCTGTTGTGTGCAACAGGAAATGTTTCAGAGGACAGAATGGTAGAGGCAAAAAGTACAGAGCATCCCAGCAAAACAGAACATGAATTTCAATGTGGAAGAAAAATGAGGCTGGTTAGTTGATTTGAAAGAAATAAAGAAACAAACAGAAATTGCTGCTCAGATCTTTTAGTCTTACAAAAGGAAGTGGAGAGGAAAAAAATAAATTAATTCTTTTGCTAGTGATTTGGCTTATGTTGCTGGACACCTTCAAAAAGATTTGCTACCCCAAGTATCCTTCTCTTCTAAACAGACACCCAAAATAGCTTCACGCTTTCTTCCTCCACAGAACTGAGGCTAGCAGAGCCTTCTCCAACCAGTGTGAGCGTTTTAAAAAGGCCTAGCATACAACACCAGAGACTTTTCAATGACCTCTTGACACCTCAATATGCAGACACATTTTTAGTGAGTGCTTTCTAGCCAGGCTGGATGCAGCCTGAAACAACACATTGATGGCTACAAGGGAATTCTTTGCCATTAGTACTGCTGTTCATGCTGTGAAAGCATTTTTAAAAGTTTTTAAGATACAGATTAATAAAAAAGCCGTTTAAGAAAGTCCCCCTTGGAAATAAATTTGGACTGACATCATAATGACAATGGTTGAAAAAAATGCCAGATTATGCTGTCATACAAAAAAAAATCTAATACCAAATGCATATAGGATGCAAAAACCTTTTCTGTTTCTGATATGGAATAACCATTCTGCAATGCTGACATCTTGTGGTAGCAGTGCTCGGTGATTTTTTAAATGTCACACCTGAGGAATTTCACATGGCCATACTCAAAAAGCATACAACTATTTCACTGGGGTCTTTTTCCCTTTCAGATTACTATCTTTTGTGTTATTACTCATTATGTGCATTATCCATTTTTTAAGTTGTGGCTGTGAAGTCACTTGCCTCTCTTCAATTATTTAAAAAGTAGCCAGAACTTGTCCCATACCGAGAGCAGTTTGCTCCAGAGGCAAAAGTTTCTGGTTTTTTTCCCTCTGCTCCTTCTGCAAGACAATCTTCTCATGCAGGAGGAATGCAGAAGGGTCTTCTAACGCATCAGTGATGCACTTCATGCTTCCGCTCAGGAGATGGAGTCTGTGGTTTACAGACCACGCTGAGATTGTGTCTTTTTCTGATAACACATTCTCCCTGCTGGCATCCCAGCTGGTCATGGAGTAACCACGGGCTGGGAATTTTGACTGTGCAGTGCATCTGAGGATTTCCACGAAGACTGAATGCTCAAGATGGGTGTTCAGTCCAAATGTCTCTCATTTGCAGGCAGTTTCTGTGACAGACTTTGAAGCCTGAAAGTGAATTGCTGCATAGCCCCAAAACTGTTTGCTAACAACCTGTGTTTCTGTCTCTTCTGATTAATGAGAAGCATCTGAAAATTACCCTATGTTAACTGGTGCCATTTAGATGGATGGATTTCTGTTGAAGACTTTTTCTTAAAAACATGGAAATATTCCTGGTGTGGGTACCTTCTGCTTGGTGTGCATGCAACTGCTGGTAGTGTCCTTAAAATTACCAGCAAGTTTCACTAGCTTTATTTAAGTCCTCCCTCCCCAGTGGATATTTCCATAGCAATGTGGTTCAGTGCAACTTCTTCCCTTGATTTCTCAAAATATGCTTTAGCAGACTCTTGCATTTGAAACGGATCACACATTGCCACTCCCTGGAAAAACACATGATAGCTTATGAAACGTGTGCTATTACTGGCCAGATTATTACTGGAGCTAGCAATTCTGCAGCTCAGTGCTGATCCTAAAAAGATATCTCCTGTGTATGTGTGGGTACTTTTTCTCGGGCAGGGGCTCTAAGAATGGAGCTTTATAAATTTCATTAGTTCATAAAAATTAAATCATCACAAATACAAATATTTAGGTGCATTCTGACTATTTGTTCAAATTTCTGTAATCAGGTGCAGCCACAAAAAGAGAGATCTGTTTTACCCTTCAATCAATAAGGATGTCACTTGGGGAAATCAGAAAGGAGTGATGGATTAAAATCAGCTGAAATACATTGGAAGGTTTGGATATTGCATGTAGCTAAGTGGAAGGAATGGATTTACTTTAGCTGGGTGCATTTACTGATAACTTTCACCCAGGAGTGTTCATTTAAAGACATTAAGCTATCACCTTCCTTTGTTCCGAAGTCAGGGTGTTAGCCCATCAAGGTCTGGTGATGTGACATTTGTGACTTTACCGCCAGCCTCAAATGCCCTCTGTTCAAACCACAAGGGAAGTACCCAACCTGTGACATGGTTCACTCAAAAAAAGACTTATTTTATATTTATTATCGTGAGAAAATTACTCTTTGGGTTTCTGCAGACTCATCTGTTTCTCACTGGATCATTCCACTGGCATCATAAACAACCAAGTTTTTTCACTGTGGTCTTTTCAAACAGCTGAGATACTGTGACAGTGCTCAGTATTTCACACTGCGGTTCACGAACCTGTCCCAGGCTCTACTGACCACACTTCTCATTTTCCACAGTGCTGGATTCCTGGACTGGAGGCCTTGACTTGAGATCTCCCGTTCAGTCCACGGCGGCTTCACAAGGCCCGGAGCGCCAACCCAGAGTCGCAAACTCGCAGCCAAAATCCTGGCAGGGCTGTCGCCTGCAGCGGACCTCGCACTGGCCCCGTGCACTTGCGACCACGGGCCGGGCTTGAGAAGCTGTCACAAAGATATCCTTATCACTCGTGTCACAGAACATCGCTGTCAGGCAATTACTTGGAGAGAAAGGCAGCTGCCACTGTTATCTGTCAGGGTGCAGCCATACAAAACCGTCTGTCCCAGCCCAGTGGGAATTCTCCAGCGCCCCACTCACAGGGCTGCCCCACACCCAGACCTGTCGCCGGGGGCCTGTGCCGGGCCACAGCCCCACGCAGAGGAACACCTGCAGCCCTTCGTTCCAACCCTCACGGCAGGACGGTCAGCGCCCGAGGGAGCTCGGGCAGATGGGCGGGATGGCGAGGCAGGCAGAAGCCGCCCCGAGGGTTCGCAGGGCCGCGCCCCGGCCCNCAGCGCCGCGGCAGCGCGGGGCCTTCCCACAGCGCTCGCACCCCGCAGGACGGCGCCCAAGGCCGGGGAAAGGCGCCGCATCTCTCGGGGGTGCCCGAGGCTGCGGCAGCGGTCTGTGGAGGCACGTGCCGCAGAGTCCTCGAGGAACAAATAGAGGGCTTCACCCAAGCTAAAATCTTTTGGGTGTGTTTTTGGGGACCACGTGCGTTCAAGGACTGTAATGCATTGTGTGGGCAGTCTTGCTGGGTTTTGTGTATTAGCTGTTATGGGTGAGCGTTTTTTCCTTTTAAAGTTTAATTACCTAGAAAGGAGGTGAAGGTAACTGTAACGTTGTTTAATAAAACTTGTAACGTGCATGTCCTCAATTCCATGCCCCAGCTCCCTTCCGATCCAGACTCGTACTCCTTTAGCATTCCAAGGCCATTACCGCTCCTACACATGGTTAATGCCTAACACTGAAACTCCTCTTTGGCCTTCAGGTATTGTGTTTCCTTACAACTTGGATTGTAGGAAGGGGTGTGCTGGCATTTGGCAATCCAGTTGTCCCTGTGTCCTGTGCCCAGTGTGCTGTGTAATGTTATGTTATATTATTAAAAAAAAAAAAAATGTAAGAAATACACATTTCTTACAAAATAATGTAAGAAATATCAGGCATCTGTTTGGTTTCTTTTACACTGACAGAGGCAAAACCTGATTGCTCACATAATGTTGCTTTGGATTTACTAGGTTACTTTTGGATACTAGGTTAGGGAGCTACAAAGCAAAGAAGCAGTGTGAGATTTGTTTGTTTAGGTAAACAATGAAATTTGTTTCATTATCTTCATTTGATCTAATCCTTGCCATTAAATAATCCTCCTGTAGCACAGGCTAATTTTAGATTTTTAAGTAGTTATGGGAGGTATTCCTCCTTCCTGTTCTGCTTTCATGCTTAGCTATCAATCTGCAAGAGTGAATTCACTCTGGCAGGCATTTCCTACCAGCATGATTCCTTCCCTTTTGTTTCTGTCAAACTAAGCACAGCTCTATTAAAATTTCCAGAGGAAGAATCTCCCAAGACAGAGTTTTCTTAATGCTGAGTCTGTAAGCACTCCATGTCCATTTGGTCAGGATGCTGTTGAGCCTTGTGGCTGTATTAACTCCTTGATGTTGGCTTGGGGCATAATTGCTCTGTGGCTTTGTTCTAGGAAGTAGTGAAGCAAGGTATTTGGAGGGCATTGTCAAATTTGTGTTAAAGGTGCTATATCCAAAGAGAAATAAACAGGAATTTGGATAGAATATTCTTGATTTGCAGGTGTACCTACATCAGCAAAATATGCTCCCTGCAAACACATTACCAGCACAGCAAAGTGTGGGAGACATTGCCATCATTCTGAGGCTGAAAACTGCCCTGTCTCTCCTGCCTGGTGAGTCTTGTTCATCCTCAAAGGCACTCTGTCCTCTTCCCTTCGTGTTCCTTTTCCTAGTCAAGAGTGGTGATGGCGAGTGAAGGCAAAACACTGTGAATTGGGAGCTGCATTGGTTCCTCTCATGAGATTTAGTGAGTTTGTAAGAATGCCAGATATTAGGACCTGGTTTTGCAATTTGTTTTATGATAAACTCAGAAATTGGTGGCTTTTTTTTTTTTTTTTTCAGAGACCATGCCCATGTGAGGTGGCTATGCAGCAAGGGGATCAGGGTGCTTGAGCAGTCATGAAATACTTAAAGTACAGAAATGTTTGTAGAAGGTTATGCTGGGCAAAAGCAGCTAATACAGGCAGTGAGAATTTTCTTGGTGATCCCCTACATAACAAATGAGTCATCTGTCTGTTTGCAAAATATAGACTACTGCAAAAGAAGTTCTGTGGATAAAAGAAACTAGTCTTGGTTTGAAGTTTTATTTGAGTTTTGTTGGGTTTTTTTCTGCTGCAGTGGATCTGCATTGCTTTATTCTGTTAAAAGTGTTCTCACTGAGATTAAAACCAGGGAAATTAAGGATAAGACATATAAGAATGCAAAAAATCAGTCTGAGTTCAGTTTAGGAAAGGGTCAGAGAACAAGAAAGTCAGTGGAAATATTCCCAGTGCCCACAGCTGAGGTGGTGCTGCAGGGTTTGCTGCAGCTGCAGTTACAGTGAAAGCCCCAGAAGACTCTTCAGTAAAATCTTATGTGACTTTGACATAGACATTGCTCAAATCCTTTTGGTGCAGGTGTTGTTGGAAAACACCCTTTATTTGTTATGCAGACTAGGCCGTAGAGGATTCGTGAGGAGGTAAATACCTCCTCATGAATTGTTAAATACTGTGTGGAATATCTGAAATGGAATTTGGGAAAAACTAATGAAAAGGTAAGTTTGCATCTGCAAAAAGGCTTTTTTTCCCTAATACAGAAATACAGAGCCTGTGGTCCAAGAACTAATAATCTCTATTCAGGTTTCCATTTTCTGTCAATAATCCTGAGTGCTCACTGCAATATCAGTTTTTGTTTGAAGTCTGTTCTATCTTACTCTGGCCTGTGTTTGTAAATGAAGAATCTAAAATCTGTGTGGATCAAGACAGGTAATTAATTGTGAAAGTGTGGATATCCAGCTGAGATGTCTTATGATCTTAGCTGAACTTTCCAATCATTGTTAGCTGCTGGATTAAATAAAAACAAACAACTGATTAAATTCTGGAGGTATCATTAGCTCACATAACACAGAGTTGAAAAACTAGAAAGATTAGATTCTTCAAAAAGCTCAAATATTGATTTATTAGAATTGTGTGTTTAGCACCTGTGAATGGTCATTTTTACTATTTCTTCTGTGACTTTAGCCAGTCTCCCTTACTGGAAAATGTTCCTTGTAAATACAGTAAAATACATTCCTGGGGATAAAAAAAACCTTACATGATAAGAGATGCTGGTAACTTTTAATTAAAATCATTGCAAAGCCACAGTAAGATACTGTATGTAATTGTGCAGAGGATATCAATAACAGTTGTGAATAATGGTTGCAAATAATGTATGTTCAATTTAGGTGTAGTTATGCAAATGAAAAATAGAAAATTGGAAAGCATAGAAGGTAAAATGAGTTAATAAATAATAAAAAAAAAAATGATTGGAACTTTCCAGGGTTGTAGTGCAGAAACAAAACTTAGTAACAAAGACGCCAGCTCACATATTTGTGGCATTTTTATGGAACAGTTGTTATTGTCCCTTCATATGTTTACTCCCTATTAAAAAGATCATTTGTGTGAGTAATACCTAATTGCCTTATGTGGAGTAAGTTTTATGTTAGTAATAAAAGAAGGATCCTGTAGGGAGGCAGAAATCCTCTGCCATTGCCTGAGTGCTCTCCTCATCGCAGCTCGTCTCTACAGGGTGTTCATTAGTAGATGCTTTTTCATAGAATTTCAGGTAAGCTGTCTAAATTTTTCCTCCCTAACAGATTAATAACCTGTGAATGTTCCTTTTAACTAGAATTCTTTCATTAGTTACTGAGAAAACTTACACTGGGACAAGTGATTTGAACTCCTTCCCAGCTCTGAGTGGAGAAGATAGGGTGAAAACACTAAGGTGTTCCTTCGCTGATACCAATTCTGTGAAGAACTTCTTAAAATGATAATGTAAATATTTATACTTTCCAACTGTAGTTGTTTGAAAATAGATGTATTCTTTCAGGCTTTAATTGATTCCCTATGATGTTTGCAAAAGCAACGAAGAATTTTGTGAGAGAAACTGGCAGTGGAGGTGACTTGATCCCTGTCTCCCACCTGAATGCCTCAGACAAGCTGCAGCTTTTGAGCTTAGTTACGAAGAGGAGGAAATTCTGGTGCTGGCAGAAGCCCAAGTATCATTTCTTGACAGTCACCCTGAGTGATGTGCTTACTGAAGACAAACCAATAAAACCAGGTAAATCCATACGCGGGCAGCACTATTAGTGCAGATAAAAACAGTACAATCCCTAATCTGTTTTGTTATTATTCTCAATTAGTTATTAGAGGGCTCCTTTCAGAGGAATGCTCTGAAGGAATCCTCCATCCATGGGAATGAGATGAATGGGTCTTTTCTCACTTGTCCATTTATGTAACTAAGACTGGTAGTAATAAAAGTTGGTTAAAAAAAGAAGAAAGTTTTGCCTGTGTAGAGTATTGAGTGCTGAAGGTTGTCAGGCTGTTCAGTCGTCCTGTTTAATAACAATGCTGTCTGCAGCCACAGGAATATCCCTAGAATATTATAGGGGGTTGTATGTGATGTGTGTGTATGTATTGTGAAACTGTACTATGCTCCAGGTCAAAAGCAGTGAATAAAAAATGTCTTGTTGGAGTTAATAGCCCAGGGAATGCTTCCAGGCCAGGCCAAGTGAATTTCACCACCCATTCTGTTTGTCTTGCACAGACTGGTAAAAAAGATTGACCCTTGTAGTTTTTCTTCATCCAACTATAACAGTCCCAGCCATGTTTTAAGATTAATGAGGTGGAATCCTGTATTTCTGGACATGTCATAATTCCATATAGGAAAATAGATAATTCCCTAACCTAAGACGTTAATTATAGCTGGCTTGGAAAATTAGCTGATTCTGAGTCAGTTCTGAGGTTTTTAATTATTTTAAACCAGTTAGATTTTTCTGTTGGTTTTGGGACAGGCCTGTGATGGGACATGTCAAAATACTGGCACCATTGTACAAGCAGGTCTGCTTTGTAGTTTTCTTTGTAGCTGAAATAACTTTCAATCATTCTTTATAAATATTTCATAGTGTCTGAGTTCAGCACTTCAGTCACCTTATGTTTTCCTAAAATGGCAAAATACAAAAGGTAGTAGAGCAAAGATATTGAAAACATGAAGAGAGAAGATGCAAGAGTTGTAGAGATGCAAATTTTATTATTTACCTCTTCATACTGTTCCTTGCCTTCATTAACTTCTCATATTTTCTTTTAAGTACCTCTTCCTCCAATCACTTAAGGATGGTTTCAGCACTTTTCTTCACAGAAATTACTGTTATTGCTTTCCTAGTTATTGTGGAGTCTGACTTTGCAAAATATATGGGGAAGTTTGAAGATTTTGTTCAAGGAAGTATTGAAGCATCATTTGTGAAAGTCAGCCTGGGAGCTGGGGGAAAGGGCTACGTGGAAAACCAGTCCTCATTTGGAAACCTGAGGAAGCAAGAGATTGACTTGCAGCAGCTTATGAAAGATGTCAAGGACAGGTATGTTTCTAATGTGGGTGTTGTAGTGGCCAGGAGAGATTACTGAGCTGAAAAGACTTGGGCCAGCTGCAATCACTGACCAATTGATTTTGTAGTGTTGCCATAGTTTGAAAATTATTTTTAAGTTTTCATATTAATGATAAATCATATATACAAAAATTAAATTTTTCATATTTTGATATTTTCTTAGTCATGCTTTTCCCTTCCTTGTTTTAAAAACATTTCTGTAATTTCATTTTATGTATTTGCATGAATTACCACCTGGGACAAGAGCCAAATCCTCCCTTCTTTGGGGGACTGTACTGAGGTAACAATCTGGAAAAAAAAGAGAATTAGTTCTCTGTGTTACTGGGGCATTGAATATGGAAATTGCATTCAGAACTGCTAATGTTCTTGTAAGCAGGCTTTGTAATTTTGTGTGTGTGAGTGACCATGCTAGAAAATGGGATTATTTGAAGTTAAAGTAATAGCAAAGGTGAGCAAGCATAGTCAAGGCATATTCTCCTAGCTGAGGAAAATACAGATCTATTACTTCCTGTTATACACTATTAACTGAGGCGAAGCATATTCTTTATTTTACAAGATATGCAGCGCTTCCTCACTTCCTGTCCTACTCTGAAGTCAGATCTCTTTAATGTTGCAATGAGAGTGGCATGGTCCAAAGCCTATTTGGCAACCAGCTGACCCTTCAGGGGTCTATTCTTTATTGCAGGTCGTGACTCATGGGAGATCATTTGTGACAGCATTGTACTCTAGATCTGTAGCAGGGGCTGTAATGAATTCAAATAGCCTTTGCTGATGCTCTGAAGATAAAGATGATAGGTTTTTGTTATCAGTGCAGAAGTTGTCAGAAGCATTGTAAATTTGCTTTAGATACACTGATGTTCTAGGAATAATCAATTTTCCATTTTCATGGGAACAAATGGCTGGTGTTCTTTTTATTGTGAGCATTCACAAGTCAACAAATTTATTCTAATAAGGCTCCTTGCTCTCTATGTACTGAATGCCTTATTAAAAGCAGAAAATACTGGGCTAAATGTGTGTTCCAAGCCTGTAAAATTAATCTAGTGTCAGGAAAATAGTGTCAGTCAAGATTTAGAGTCTTTTTTCTAGCACTAGATAGAATCTTACGGAGAAACAAACTAGAGTAACTTTGATTTAGGATAAGTAAGCTTTTACTTGAAGTTACCTATTCAATTCACAAAAAAAGAATCCCCCCCCCCAGCAAATCTGAAGGTCTTGGAGTTAGTTACAATCCTTTATGTAACTAAATACTCAGAAATATGTTACTTTCTTTTGAGTTTTGAAAATCAGTAGCTCTACACTGATCTCTGTGTAACTGTAACTGAAGCTGATGTGTGTGCCACTTTATGCAAGGCACTAGATCTTAGTTCATAAAATAGATGCTCATAGCTTATTAAAGCTTATGATGCACAGTGTATAATTGAAACCAAGTCAGTCTGCCTTCTGCCAGGTCACTGAAAATGATGAGGATAGCAGAATTTTTATTTTTTTCTCCAGTATAATGCAGAAGCTCACTGGAAATTGTTGGCAGTGCCTTATAGATGAAATTCAACTTATTCGTTCATAAATATTCTATGATTTATGATTGATTGTGTCCGAGCTTCAAGCTTTCATCTTGTTGAGTATACATGAGTATTATGTGGAGTGCTGATGGCTACAAGTTAGTGATTTTTGGATGCAAAGCATTGCAGTACTTATAAGAACATGTTTGCCTGTCAAGCCTTGTGAAATGCAAGGCAGCAAGCTGTTCTTGATGTAATTTAATGACATGTGGTGCTTGTGCTTGTTTGATCAATCCCTACTTCATTTATTATTTCTACATTATAACCTAGTTAAGTTGCATTTTTTAAATTTTCTTCTATTAGGCTGATTAAGTCAAAGTTGTAGATTAGTAGCAGTAAACTCAAAAAAGTCAAAGCTGATGTGCCTTTTAAAATAAGTCATGTGACTCTTCAGAGTTGAGCAAGCTGAAGGTGCTCAGTGGCAGCAAATCGGTTTCCTGTCACTTCTTAGGCAAACCTTCTGAAGGAGAATCCTACTGTTCTTTTAATTAGATTCCAGGTGCTGCATTGAAAAAGGGTGACAGCTGAAGGATGTGGGATGAGATGCTTCCTGGTTTGCAGAAGCAGTGACATTGTAAATGCAGAACTACTTATTAACATAATATGCTAAAATGAAGTTAAACGATAGTTTTAGGTATACAAGCTTGGCGTATTTCCCTTTAGGTTATTTTGATTTTGTATTACATAGTGCTTGCTATTTCACAGAGCATGTAACATAGTGATACATACATGATTTGGGGCAGAGTCCTGTGCCTTTAGCTCACTTGGATTCCTATGGATTTAAGAGTATATTCCATCTTCTATTTTATGGCTTTCAGTACTCTCTGCCATAAGGTCCTCTTAGAGAAGTTCAAATATGGGTTGGATGAGCCACTTTTCAGTGGTGCCCAGAGACAGAGCAGAAAGCAATAGACACAATCTGAGACACAGGAGGCTCTGTCTGAACATCAGGAAACTTTTTCACTGTGAGGGTGACTGAGCTCACGTTGCCTGAGGAGGCTGTGGAGTTCCCCACTTGGAGACATAATCCTAGGCAGACTGCTCTGGGTGGCCCTGCTAAAGCAAGGAGGTTAGACCAGATGACTGTCCCACCCTAACTGTTCTGTCTTCTTCCCTCCAGTAAAAAGGATTATGAGGTTGTTATAATCTCTGTACTTCTCATATATTAACAAATTTGCTTGTTAGTTTTTCACTAAAAGTCATGGAGGGTGGTTGAAAGAGAGATTCTGAGAGAACAGTGATAGCAGTCAGTCGGTTCACATCAGCTGCAGAAAAAATTGCCTGTCATACTTCCATCATTTTGTGTGAATGATCCCTAACTCTATGATTAGCATATTAGGAAAAGAGCTGTGTTTTTAGCAGCACACTTGGGCATGGCTAAAAGATACTTTCCTACTGTTGCATATTGCACTTTAGTTGAATTAATGAAACTGCATATTATTGTCCATACTGAGACAAAAATAAATGTCTAATCTTAATCTAAGTACAGTGGAAATTCAGACCATTTTGTGATTTATTGTTTAAAACTACTTGAGCCATTTATAAGCATGATGAGAAAACCATTTAGTTTTCTACCTAAGCTGCTACATGGGGTAATACAAAATCAGAAAGTGTTGTGAGACAGGATTGAATAAAAGCAATTGTGTGTGCCTGTGATTTAAAAAATAAGGAGCATGTCAAATAGAAAATAGAAAAACTACCTGTCACTTGCAATCTTAGTAGTCTCTGATATTCTTAGGGAAGATGTTCTGTAAAGTACGTGTCAGGTTATTCTGCAGGGAAAATAGTAAAATGCGATCAATAAGCTGACTGTTGCAGATGCTGTGTTCTGTAAGAAATAAGTCACAGAGGTTATATTTGAAATGGATTAACAAAAGGAATATTCATCTGTGCTTGGTGGAAAATGGCAGAGTGAGGTCTGGTAGATTTTACTGTCTGACAGTCATCTAGAGATCTCTGTTAAAGCAGGAAAAAAGCTGGGTGAAGGCTCTCACTTGCAACAAGGAGTATTTGTATGGAAGACATCAGACTGTTGCACATAATAAATGAAGTGGAGAAGAGGCTGTGAGGCTGCCTGCATCTCTGCAGCTGGGAGAGGAGATATATTGAGGTGACATTGCCCAGTACAGGAATGAAAAGGTTTTTTACCTGTAAGTAGTTTGGACCAGTGAAAATTTGTGCAGACAGGCAGCAGTGCTGATTTCAATGTGAGGATGGAGAGTACTCACAGCAATACCCATTCTTCTTGGTATTTGTAGGAAATTGACAGGCACCTTGCTTTGAGGATTTGCGGGCGGGTTACTGAGATGGTTAGACAGGATTCGATGGAAAAATAGTCCTATGGCCTCTCCTTTGTGGGAAATTAGGTCAAATTCCTTGCCTAAAGAAAAGACCCTGAGTCTCAGCAGTGGGATTTAGAGCAGACTTGTGTTCTCTACTTCAATTGTGTGAGCCTGTTATGTTGCCAAGTGTTGTCCGTTTTTTCTTGTCTTTATTTGGTTTCTGCCTTTCTCTTCTTTTCTGACTCTAGTCTGCAGCAAATTGCCTTTGTGCCTCTATTGTCTACTGCTTTCCTAGTGCAAGAAGAAAAATACTGAATGAAGGTGGAAGTCTTTGCATTATAGGAGAGTAAGAGTGTTTAATCTAGTTAAGTGTGGAGTCATTTAAACTCAAAGAAATTATTTTATGTACATGTTTGACCCATAAAGCTTCCAGCATAGTAAATCATTGACCTCAGGAAGGTTGTTTAAGCAGAACAAACAATCAAGGAAAACCCCATAACTTTTATCTTTTAAATAATTTTTATTTATACAGGCTTATACTCTGTGTGTTGATAATGGCACTTGGTAAACCAACATTTTATTTTCTATGGTGTTATTTTTGAGTGCTTCAACTCAGCTCCTTGGGGTAGGATAGGTAATGGTGATGTAGTACAAATGGCACAGGGTTGGTGGGGGCTTTTGTACAGTACAGACTGAAAGAGATGGTAAGAGCCATGGCTGTAGAGCAAAAATAAAAGCTCTGAAACATGACCTGTAAAATAAAAAAGTGCAATGCAATTCATGGTCCTTGCATGCATGTATTCTCAGGGATTTAACTCGGTCATCTTACGTTATTCAGACATTTTCTTATATTTAGTATTATGCTGGCAAGTAAGTTCAGTTCTTGCAAAAATACAGTCACAGACTCAGTGGCCATTGCCCTGCAATACTTGAAGTCCTGCTCTGACTGTCAAACTTTAACCCTGTTGTGGCTTGCTCTTGATGACTGTTTTCAATGATAATTTAGATAAGCTGGGTACTTTCCTCATGTCATCTGCTGTTTGAGTTGCTGAGGAGAGCAGAATATTTTGCCTTCAACAGGCAAAATTATTATTGCTCCAGTAATCAGCCATGATGTGCCCACATGCAACCCTAGAGTTCTGTTTTATGATAGAAAGTTCAGTACCAGAAGTCTAGAAGAGAGCACTTAGCTGTGCTATCCTGGAAGAAAAGGTTTCTGTAGCTGTGGGTAGGGCTCTGTATTTGAACTGGAGCTCACTAAACTTACTGAGTTTAGAGAGGAGAACATTTCTGATGGCTTTACAATGGAAAAATTGTGAAGCGACTTGCCACTGAAGTGATTTGAACCTTGGGGCTGTGGCAGTGGCTGTCTCTGGCACACATTTAGCTCTGTGCAGGGGATCCCAGGTCACCTCTGGGCTCTGCCTGGGGAGTGCTGCTGCAGCAGGTAGCTCTGTGTCCCTGTGTGTCAGTGTCACTCCACAGCCCTCAGTGCTGCAGCTGCTCCTCCAGCCTTGCCTCCAGGATTTGTTCACTGCCCCTCTCTGCAAGTTAACGATGTCTTCTGACACTTCTGCTCTGCCACTCTGCTGCTACTTCTGCATCTGGACCTCAAAGCATCCTCAGATGCAAAGGAGCGTGACAGGGTCTGAGCCAGTCCCACCTTGGGCAGAATACTGTAGAAACAGATGGAAGAAAAGGTCTCTTGAATTATTTTGGTTATTCATTTGCATAGAATTAGTTCATATTCTGTATGCTTCTTCAATTAACACTTACTCAGAAACAGCAAATCTTTATTTAGTAGGTATTTTTTCTACCTTTGGTGGTTGGTGAGGGATTTTTCCTCTAAATTTTGGGGAAATTGAGCAAGTTTGCCATCCTCTTAAACAGTCAAAAAATACACATGAAAGCAAACGACAAATTGCTTTTGTGCTTCTTCATTGTATTTTTCCCCCTATTGCTCCCTAGGTCAAATGTTAAAACTGCAAGTACTTAGTACGTTAATTTGTATTTTCAAGACGTGTAACATACCACTTTAGAAACATAAATAATTACTGTGAAGTATATGATAGGCTTGATAGACTGTAACTAATGACTCTGGTTCAGAACAGTGATGTTTGTGGTAGCTTGACATTTCTTCAATATTTGCTTAATCCAAAGGTTCATTGCATTCCAAGCATAAAGCATGACTTTGCACCAAAAGAAAAAAAGTTCTATTAATAATATCAGGAATGTTTGGAGATGCTTTTCTAGTGACTGCTGCATTGCTTCAGAGGTATTTTGTTTCCCTTGTCTAAACAATCAACTTTAAGGTTTTCAGACAGTTCATTCCAGCTGATTGAACTTTCATATAAGCATGTAACTCTCCAAAGATCAAAAATTGCCCAAGGATATTTTTAATTCAATAAAAACCCCAGCTGACTTCAGACTTACACAGACTGAATAAATTCAAAACTCCAGAATCTAATAAATCTAAAACTTTTTAATTAAAAGTGGAGATATCTTGATTTAAATGAATTGGAGTCAGACATGTCTTTCTGTCACATTTTTGGGAAATTGCCATTTAGCTCCATGAATAGCCATTTACAATAAAAGGGAGGAGAAAAGACCGAATAATTTGAGTCAGGTATAGCAATCCTTTAATATTCCAACAGTTTTGCTAGATTACCTGTTCATAAAAAATATAGCATCTCATTTGAGGACCTCCAGTGAATATTTTGCAAAAGTATAATATAACTGACAAATTTTAATCAATTAAATACAATTAAGAAGTTGCTTTTACTTATACCAGAAAGTCTTTTAACATCTCAAAAGACAAGGTAGTGGATTTTGTAACATTTTCTTAGAAAATAAACCTCCTGTATTGTTTCTGGGAGTTCAGTTTCTGTCTTCTGCTCATTTTAAGAAGAACCTAATGTTAGAATTATTTTCAGCAGAATTTAAACAGATGCTGAATTATGCTGTGGAGTATAGATGGTTTATTAAGCTGGTGCCTGGGCTGAAGTTTTGAGCTCCTCCCCACAGTTAGTTTTCCTTTTGGCTGTGACAGTCCTGGTCACCAATCTTAAATTTTGAGTCTATACCAATGTATAACACAGGACTTTGAAGCAGGTGGGTTTCTTTCAGTAATCCCCAGTCTCAAAATCAATGAAATCTGTATTTTCTCATTCAGTCCTTTGAAGTAGTTGGTCAGTGCTGATCCCACTCAGCCTGTTGGGGATTTAAGTGAGCACTGAAACAGATCTGTAGCAAGCAGTGAGGGTTGACACTGAGGCATTGCTGCCTTTGTGTCCCCCAGCCAGCACCCCCTGCCATGGCCATGGTAATGTCAGTACAAGCTCGCAGTAGGAGAGGATTCAGTCCAGTGTCCAAGAGCCTGACTGGTTGGTTTTGTATTCCTCAGGAATCTTAAAGTTGCCTTTAATTCCCTCTTGCTTTTTTCTTTGCTTAGAAAGGATCTGGACAACTTCCATTTTTGCTCAGGGAAATCAAGAGTCAAGTAGGGAATCGAGAATTCAATATGTATGTGAGGACTTATTGTGGAATACAGATATTTACTGCTGCCATATAACAGAAGAAGACATCATAATTTTGAGGAGGCTGCTCATACAGAAACCATTGTCATTTTTACAATAAAAGCTTCTTCAAGCAATTAGGAAAATATGGTTGGTTGTGGGTTTGGTTTTGTTATCACAATTATAGTATTGTTAATGGTGTATTTTCTTTTTCAGGACAATAGATCTAAGCAATAGTTTACTGCAACAAGTAATAGAAAGAAAGCGTGAAGTGCTGTGCATCTTGAGAGAAAAGATAATCACAACTCAGAGGTGTACGATATCTGAACATATCCAGACAGAAGAAAAAGTCAGTGGTGTGATGGGATGCACTGCAAAAACTGTAAAGGTAAAAGTTACTAAAAATCAGGAAGGAGCAGAACACTTGCATGTTATCAGGGAAGAAATGATTTCTCCAAATGAGGTTCTGAGTATTTTTCATGCTTTCTTAATGTGCTGAACAAACTGCAGTTCTTGGTTGTGAAAATTCTGTATGGTAAAATGTTTTTTCCATTGCTTTTCTGGCAAAAGATGCCGTATTTTTCTATGAGCCTGGAAAGTAGTTTCCATCAATACTATCAAATTGTGATTCCATTTCTCTGTAGATTCCTGCCTACAGCAGAACATGAAGCAAACCTAAAACAATTCATTGCAAGTTGAATAGCAAAATGCATTTCTGAATCAAATTTATTTGAAAAGCCAAGTAATCATTCATCACAAATGGTTGCAGTGTCTACTGAGTTCACATATTTGTTGGGAAACTATTTGTTTTCAATCATGGGAGTAGAGATTAACTGAGAGATTATGAGGCTATCTGAAAAATTGCCTATGGATTGAGAAGGAATTAGCAAAGTCGAAACATGCTCATTCATTGCAAGTTTTGGTTTCTTTTAAAAATGAGATGAATCACTTCTGTGTAGAGTGTGTCTCCAGTTGCAGGAATCCAGGAGTTGCAGTATTACAACTCTCTTTGCAAGTGCCACCTTCCTGGTACCAGCCTCCAGCTGGCAAAAGAAATGTCACAGTAGACTTGGGTAAGGCAGGACACTGAAGTGGGTGCCCATTTCCTAGTGACATGGTGCTTCATGTGTGGCAAAGGCTGCTCCTGGAGCTCAACTTTGTGCTAGGACAGGGGAGCTAAGAGCACAAGAGCTGCTCTTGGCATTGTGTTTCTACCTCGCTCTTTATCTAGTTCCTTTCTTAGATGCCAGAAGTAACGTGTAACAGTTTGATGAGACATCATGGGGCACAAAGCATATTCTCCCTCCATATTTTTCACCTTAATTACATGTTTAAACTGTGAAGTAGCTGAATCAGATAAATGGTGAATAAATCTGTCTTGTAGGTTTCAGTAAGTGAAAATGGGACTCTGATGAAGGATTCTAGCGTGATCCTTGAAATTCCTCCTGCAACCACTATTGCCTATGGTGTAATTGAACTGTTTATAAAGCACAATGGCCAGTTTGGTAAGTGAAAAGCTTGGATTTTGTGACACACAGTTGAGCTGTGGACAAAGCTGTTTGTCAGACAGTGATTGTTACGTTTCTGTGTGCATGATTATGTTGTGTGGCGTCCTTTGCCTTGATAGTTATTTGTGCTAGAAATGCTTATTTAGTAATTTAAAACTCTGATTTAGTAATGCTTTTTCACTTTCTTGAATGAACTGTAAACTCAGAATGACTTAGGTTTCAGGGAACCACAGGAGATCATGTAGCTCGACCATCTGCTCAAGGCAGGGCCAACTTTTGAACTTAGATCAAAATTCAGAGTTAGATCAGATTGCTCATATCCTTGTCTATTATAAACTTTTGATTTATCTCCAGAAACAGAGATTCCATCACTCCTCTGGACAGTTACCATGTTTGACCACCATGGTGATGAACTTTTTTTTTCCCTTAATATCTGCTGTTTATTGGATTGCTCTAGGCTATGAATGTGAGGCTTGTACTCAAGAGTCCAAAACTGGACACAGCGCTCTGAATGCCCTTTCCCAAACTGAAAATTCAGTTCCATCAATCCACCAGCTACAGCCTTGTCAGTACAGCCCAGTATGTAGCAAACTTCAATAACTGCAAGGGCATGTTACTGATCCTCTTGGATTTATCGTCCTGGTCTTTTGCTCCAGTTTTGCTTCCAGCCAGCCGGCCCTTGGCCTGGGCTATTCCCTTCACCTGTTCCAGAAAGTGACCTGAGTGTAAATCAACCATCAACCAGGAATGTTTAGACAATAGTCATTAAGAGCAGAATCATACATATAGGACTGGAGTTAAAACTTTTCTAGTTTAGACTTTAGTTTAAAGATTGCCCTCAGAATAGTTGCACGAATGCCCTTGTCATGTTTTCTGGTCATGCTTTACTTATGTCAGGTTGAGTATCTTTCAGGTTAAAAAAAAGTCAGAATTGTCTTTGGGGGTAGTTGTAGCTCTGCTTTGCACAATCACTTGGGTTTTTCTTTCTTGTTTATCCTCATTTAAACTCACGGACCTAAAGGAGATTTCAGGGGATGTTACGCAAAGAGGAATAAAATCAGATAGTGGAGCTGGAAGTTGGGAAGGACTGATGTGGAGAGGAACAGGAGATACATTGAAGAAATAATTGGAGTACAGTTGAGATTTCAATCCAGGATGTGCTTTACTTGGATAAGAAATGCAGAAGATTAGCTCTCCATCATCCATCTTCCTTCTGATATTAATGAAGTCTGTAGGCTCAGGAATAGAAGTAAATATTATGTACCCTGTAAAAAGTTTCTGAAAAATGGAATTGCTCTGATGTAGACTGAACACACAGATAGTAGCAGAGGATCTTGACGTCATGGTTATAATAGAACTGTAATTCAGAGTAATGAGGTGTAATTAAGGCTGTCTGACTACATAGGTATATAGCTGATAGCCTACTTAGATAATTTCTACATGGAATTATGATGTCCTGCTAGCTAAGAATACACGCGTCTTGTTAATTAACTGTATTTCTCTGCTCTTTTTCTACTTCTGCTTCTTTTTCCACCTTTTCTTTTTCACATTTTAATATTAACATCTTTTTAAGCTTCAAAACTAACACCGTTTGTTTTGTATTTTATCTTAAACAACCTATGTCATGCCTCTTTTCTTTTTTAATTTGTGCTATTTTCCCTTGCCTGAGTGTCACTGAAAAGGCAAAGGGGAGGAACTGACAACAAAATTAGGGCTTTGCCAGCAAGAGTAAGTACGGTGGAGCTTAAACTTCAGCTTATTACTGTCTGAGCAGCAGGGATCAGTGTCTGTTTATGGAAATAGAAATAGCCTTTGAAGTTAAACCCAAGGACTAATGTGGTTCTTTCTTGTGAGACTGAAAGTGACCAGTAGCAGGTGTAACCTAATGGGATTCTCTTCACAGATAATTACGAAGTAAGATGCATGTAAGCTTTTTATTGTTTCTTTTTCTTTGCCACTGCTAGTACCTGAGTTATTCTGTTAGGAAGAATGGTATACAAATTTTCTTTTAAAAGTTCTGACTAATGTGACTGGACATATTTGGATATTTTTATAAATAAATAAATTTTAAAAAAGAAGGGAGATCTAATCCTTTTCTGATCCATTTACCATTGTGCTTTCCTGTAATCATTCTGTTTGATTTCTACAGGCTAATTTTCCACTCCATGTAAAAGCTGTTTCTGCCTAAGGCTTTGCAGTTTTGTGCCTCTAAAGTTGTGCTGAAATGCCTCTTATTCTTGCTTTACAAAGCAGGGGATATAAAAGCACCCAGCTGATTTGCTTTGTTCTGTTCATTGCTATATGTGTGCGGTTTGCTTTTTCTTAAATGTCTGTAAATCAAACAGTCCCAGTATATCCACTTTCCCTCATAAAGGAGTCTCTTTGATTGTTTTCATTGATCATCTCTGGTTTTCTTGCATTTTTGTTAACATTTCTGAGTAACTAACAAGCTCTAACTGCACTGTTGGAGGTTTGTCATTGATGAATGTAATAGAATTCAATACGGAATTAATTAACAGCCCTCTTAATACAAAATTTTGAGTCCTGTGTTTTCCTGTAAATTGAGTCCTATTACAGGATTTAACAACATCATTTGAAAAGTTTGATTTCCCTTATTAACATCATTTTGCCTCAGGAGGGGAGGCAGTTTATTAGCACAATCTTCCTCCTCAGGGTTCATGTGAAAGCCTTGTTATTTTCAATGCCAGTAACATGAGTGAGCTGGCCTTGTGGTGCCCCAGCTGCTGTCCAAAGTCTTGTTGCTTTGGGAAGTTCTTAGCTTGTGTTAATTGCTTGCTCCTCTGCAGCTTCTTCTCCTCTGTGAAAGGTTATGCAAGCATAAAGGTCTGTCGTCTTTCTTTCTCTGTGGCAGGAATTTCTTTGTCTGCTTTTCCTTTGAAAAAGCTTTTTGCTGATGGAGTACTCTCCATGCTTTCTCATCTGCTTTGAATGTCCTTAATTTAGTGAGACAGATGCTTACAACTGCAGAAAGGTTATATTTAGGTTTTATGCCTGGTACATGTGAGCACTGTGCTTGATTAGTTAATTTTTTTTCCCTTTGCTGTCAGGTATTACTTTAAAATTGAGTTTCTTTTGCTAGCCTGCCTGTGTTCTCCTCATACCGGTTGCAGAGTGCCTTGGGTACACGCTCAAATCTTGCAAAAGAGGATCAGAATATGTATAGGGCTTTGACTTTATTCTGCATCTTTAGGGCACAGCAATGGACACATGAGCACAGAACTTGACACTCCAGATTTCGCAGCATAACTCTTATGAAGGCTCCCTGTTCCTTCCAGGAAGCCCTTAACTTCATCAGGCTGGGGGCATTGGGATGGCAGGATGAGGACACTCCTGTTTGGGTGAGGTTGGCCAGTGCTCGTCACGAAGATGAGGCAGAAGAATAACCCAGCCAGGGCATGTTATTTCCTCTGTGAAGTTACTGAAGAGAGATAGAGTGATTATGTTAGGAAACATCCCTGGGTGATGTCCTTTAGAGACTCTCAGAAGTCTCCTGTGTGTGGCTTGGCTGAGAAAGAGGAGTCTGTCAGTGCCTTGACCAACAGAAACTCTGTGAAGGACACTCAAGAGTTCTTACAAATCTCAGAGAGTACTTTCATGTGTCCTTCATGAGTGGATCCTGTTGTCTGCATTACAGCACGCCTCTTAGTAGGTAGAAAGTATACAGAGTGGGGAATGGGAGGCTGGAGAGCAGTGCTGTGGAAAGGGACCTGAGGATCCTGGTTGATGGCAAGTTGAATGTGAGTCAGCAGTGCCCTGGCAGCCGGGAGGGCCAACCCTGTCCTGGGGGGCATCAGGCCCAGCATGGCCAGCCTGGCAAGGGAGGGGATTGTCCTGCTCTGCTCTGAGCTGGGGCAGCCTCACCTCGAGTGCTGGGGGCAGTTTTGGGTGCCACAATGTAAGAAAACTCTCAGAGGGGTACCCAAAGGAGGGCAGCAAAGATGGTGAAGGGCCTCAGTGGGAAGCCATACAAGGAGCAGCTGAGGTCACTTGGTCTGCTCAGCCTGGAGAAGAGGAGACTGAGGGGAGACCTCATTGCAGTTACAGCTTCCTCCTGAGGGGAAGAGGAGGGGCAGATGCTGGTCTCTTCTCTGTTGGACCAGCAACAAGGAATGGCCTGAAGTAGTGTCAGGGGAGGTTTTGGTTGGATACCAGGAAAATGTTCCTCCCCCAGTGGATGGTTGGGCATTGGAACAGCTCCCCAGGGAAGTGGTCACAACATCAATCTGACGGAGCTCAAGAAGTCTTTGGACAACACTCTGAGGCACATGGTGTGATTCTTGGGGATGGTTCTGTGCAGGGCCAGGAGTTGGATGTGTTGATCCTCGAGGGCCCCTTCCAACTCAGCATATTTTGTGATTCTGTGAAAACATCAAGAATTCCTACCTGCATCTCCTGTATGCAGCATTCTGGTTTACAGTGTCAGTGGGAAGTTTTCATGTTCTTTTCTGTCTACATCAACTTAGTTCACAGGAGCTGGTGTCACATTCTGTAGGAGGCAGCTGCACCACAGGTCTTCTGTCTGTACACACTGTACCAAACATCAGGGCTGTAGGAATGCTCAATAATTCACATGCACAGCAGCCGCTGGCATTCTCTCCATCTGGAAGAGATAAGACATGGAGAAATGACATGCGAGAACAATAGAAAATACAAGCTATCATCTCATTCAGTAATTGCTTGTGTATTTTATTAATTATTGTTTTTGGTTGAATTTCTAATTACAGAGTTCTGTCTGCTAGATGAACAGCAAGGAGGTTTTGAAAAAGAAAGCACAGAAGGCTCAGCTTATCCCCATTCATTTCAATTCAGAGATGCTTCGTTCCTCTATCAGCCAGATGCTGTTGATAATGAGATGTACTCTGGGGCTAAAAACCTCGTTCCCAGTGATGCTTCTATAAGTATATTGAAACAAGGTATTACCAGAAATGCTTTACATGATTATATTACAGTGAATTAAATAACCTGATAGGCAGAAATAATCTGGTACAATAGTAAGTAAGAAATCTCGTTAGTTCATTTCAGTAGCTCTTATCAGGAACTCTTGGGGGAATGCACTGAAAGAATATAAAAAATCAGTTTGCAGTAAATGAATGCACTGGACTCTTTCCCATGAACATTCTGAATCCATCTGTCAAAAATATCATCTTAAAAAGTCAGATGTTTATGACAGCTCTTTTACATTCTAGATAACCTCTGCAAGTCTAGTGATGATACATAGTTTCATTCAGAAAGGGTCACTGGAAATAGCTTCTCCTGATTTGAAAAATACTCTCAGTAAAGCTTCTCAGTTACAGGTTAAGTCTCAAAAACAGACATCTCCCTTGCCTTCACTTGGCCTCATTATTTTCTGAGAAGCTTTATAACTGAGAAAATCAAAATGTGGTTTAAATGGAGGTTTGTTAATTGTTATAATGGCCTGGGTACAAGTTTTTATTGTAGGAATGTGGAAAGAAGAGGTAGGAATATTACTGGTGGAATGAAAAAAGGGAAAACCAGTCAAGGCCTAAGAACACACTGTGCTTTTCATCAGTTCTTGGTGGAGTTCTTACAGCTGGTTCTGCTGATGAATATCACCTCTCTTGTCTCTAAGTTTCACCCTTGGTTAATGGCTGTTCAATAAACAATATATAAAAAGCACTTGTGAAAGAATGATATGCCACTATTGTATTTTTTTTAGCTTGACATACCTATTTGCTTTTCTTGCTTAAAAGGCTTGGAGATTTCTATACATAATCCAACCTCTGCTGTCTCTTGTAAAATGAAAAAGCTAAAAAAATTGTTTTTACTAAAGAATTTGGAAGTACATTTAATTTTCTGTTCTTTGTATAGACAAATTCATACAATTGCATCAGATAAACAAAATATCTGCTTGTGGCTGGGCTTATTTTTTTTTCCCTAGTGAAGTAATTTTTTAGTTATAAAGGACATCTTTAAACAGATCATGATTCTTGACTGGAGTGACATGAAGGAAAATTTCTTTCAAACAAATTTAAGAACACTTGTATGCTCACATTTTTAGAATGTGGGGAAAAAAAACCATTCCAACCTTCCAGTTGGCATTATTGATTTGAAAGCTTCAGGTTTTTTTTTTAACAAAGTGGTAATTTGATGTCACAAAAAATTTAACTTCAGTATCATAGTTGAATTGTGAGAAAATTAATGCAGAGCACTCCCTTGTACTTAATGACTATTCTTCATTATGCCATATAAATGAGCATTCTCTGGAGATAAACTTTGAAGTGGGAGACTTAAGATGTAGTTACATGGTTAACACTGAAGTATTGACTTTGAAAAATATTAAAAATACTCTACACCAAAATGTTGATTCTTGGTAGCAGTTCTTGTTTCTTAACGTTTGCATTGAGATTTCGTTGGCTTCTTAGGAAATAAAATCAGATTTGTTCAAGCCTTGCACTTGTGCTGGTGGAAATCAGGATGTTGAGGTGTGGTGATAAATGAGCTTTTGAAACATATAGAAAAATGTTATCTGTTTTGACTGGTATTTGTGTAGAAATACTCAGTTTTATTTTCCACTGCTTTCTTGGGAAAGATCTGTCACGGTTGAAGACCCAGTTCCAGCCCTTTGTGAAGCTTCCGGAAGACAAGCAAAGAGCTTTATATAAAGCCCTTTGTGAACTCTTGCTCCATGAAGAAATGGTGACTGCCCTGGGGGACGTGGTAAGATGAAGAACCTTTGGATTGCTTCCTTGAAGTAATTTCAGAATAGCACTAGCATTCTCTTTTGATTGAATTTTTGTCTTTTCAAGAAGTTTTGCTTATTCTTTTGCTTTCAGTTTGATGATATCTGCACAGGAGACAAGCCAGATCTGGAGGAGTTAAAGCTTGAACAGCAAAGAGACCTCTTTGACTTCTTGCAGCTTTCAGGGTGCAGTTTACAGAGTGAGCTGCTGCAGAAATATCAGCCTAAGGATGAAGAACTTTTCTCAGCTGCTCACCTTCTTATCAGTGCTATATCTGGTATGTTGTGAAAAGCCCTTTTTAAAATTTTATTTTCCTTTTAGAAGCTCCCTCCATGTTAAAGCTTTTATGGCTTTCTTTGAGCAGTTGGTGAGCTGCATGAACATAAATTTTTCTGTTCCCTTTTTATGAGTTTGGTATACTATGCTTAGCATTCCTGGCTGTGAATTAAATTCAGCCCTCAGTCACTGACAGATTTTGTGTGTAAATTACACATTCCCCCAAGACTGCTCAACTTTGCTTCTGCTGAGTGTGAGCATTTGCAGTTTGGCAAGCTAATTTCTGTACTTATTGTATGCCAGAGTCCTTCCCTCCTAAATGCTGAGAATTACAAATTAGGTGTTGTCTCCTGTGTAACAGCGTGTATTGTTCAAGTGCAAACTAAATTTAGCAAAAATGAGTTTAACACAGAGACACTGCAATTAGAGGGTTGTGTTGCAGCTGCTGAAACAGGAGATTAAACATAAATGTCAAACAAATGCCATCCTCACAATCTAGTTGGCACCACAGTGTTAATTAAAAGCTACCTGCAAAGTCCAAGACAGACTTCCCCGGATTTTTGTCTTCTCTCTCGTATATAAAGAATTTCCTGACATTAAGATAACGAAGGGAAGTCCAGTGTAAATTGTGGCACTGTGCTGCAAAATGTCAGTGTGCATCCATATATGCACAGGACCCAGGTGGGGGAGCATAACTCATTTGTGGAGAGAGAAAAGAAATAGAAAACAGAAACCTGCTGATGTGGTAACAATTGTCAGATGCCATTAACAGCAGGGCACAGTTAATTGAGTGTGTTGCATTATTACCTGACTTTGGACATAATTTCTGCTGCTAAAGTCCAGGCATAGGTGTAGCTGGATGTAGATTCAAAAGCTTTTTTATGCCTGTTGCCTGTGGTAAGAATTACAGCCTTTTTGTTACAGAGTTGAAGGGCACCACAGGGATCAGTTAGTCCTTCTCCCAGCCCCAGGGCAGTCTCAGCTATGCCATTCCTCTCAAATTGTGCTTTGCAGAAGTTAGCATCTCATATAGGTTTTGGGAGCATAGGTTCTTGGTTTATTCAAGGCCTAAGTCATTAACCCAGCCTGCAGACTCAGAGTTAAACACTGAGGAGATACTTAGGGAGGAGGCAAAGATGATGGGGAGGAAACCCCCTTTTCTACAAGTGCCTTTTCTCAAGGACAGAGATAGTCAGAGCCTTTGCCCATCTCTTTCTATGATGCTGGCAGGAAAGGGGCTGGATCAACCTCTTCCAAAGATCCAGCTGATGAGGACCTGTTAGCTCCCTGACAAAGCTCCTGGAACAGCAGGTTTATTTTCATTCTCACTTTGCTTGTGAATGTGTCCCTCACAGAGCTGCCTGATGACACTCTTGTCCTGCTGCGTGCCTGCTGTGATCTTCAGGTTGTTCCTGTCTTATGTTGTTTGGTAAGTAATGGAGATGGGACCATATGGGAACTGACAATGGTCAAATAATCTCAAAATAAGATTTTTAGACTTCAGGCATTAGCTTGAGCCTGTGTGAAACTAAGTCACACAACCTTCTCACTTTGGTCTGAGAAATCATAAGGAGGAATCCAAACAGTCCTTAGAGAAGGCAAAGAACCTTTGCAGGTGTTGTTTGGATCCTTGTTTACTTGTAAGAAATAGTCAAGGGATGGTGTTCCCTAATTGTCCAATGATGGTGATGCGTTGTTTTCATGACCAGTGAGAGTTTTACCTTTTGGACCTTCTCGGAACTGTCTATAAAAGAAGATCTGGAAGAATAAAACTTGTTCTCTTGTGCAACCCTGCTAGAGAGTCTGTGTCATGCTTTTGCTGTTCCTAATATAGTACAACATCACCGTGGCTCGTGGGCACAGCAGCAGGAGTGGCTGTGTCCTCGGCCATGTTCCTCCGCAGTGAAGGAGGAGATGTCAAGCTGCAGTGGGAATTTCAGCTGTAGGCAGTGCTTAGCCAAGGTCAGAGTCTGACATGACAAGTGAAGCACTGCAGGTGGATACCTAACTTCTGAACATTGCTGTATTTGGGAGATTTCTTGGCTTGTGAGCAAAAGAAAATTGTAACTTAAGCTCCAGTTTTATTTTTCTAATAGTCTCACTGTTTTAAAGTGTCAGTAACAATAATTACCTCTCCTTGGGAAACAGGAATTTTGCTTTGATAGCAACAGTGCTTGAGCCTTGGCAAACCCTGAAGTCTCAAAACTCTGAGGCCATTTATTGAAACTGCTGAAGGAATGGTGCAGGACATTAGAGTAATGGAGCACCTCTCCTGTGAGAAAAGAATGAGAACTGGATTTGTTTAGCCTTGAGAAGAGAAAGCTTTGGAGTGACCTAATTGCAGCCTCCCAGTACCTGAAGGAAGCTTACAAAAAAGACAGAGACTTCTTATGAGAGCATGCAGTGACAGGACAAGGAGGACTGGATTCCAACTGAAGGAGGGTAGGTTTAGATCAGATGCTGGGAAGGAACTCTTTACTATGAGCATGGTGAGACCCTGGAACCACTGCAATTTCCCAGACAAGTTGTGGATGCCCCATCCCTGGAAATGATGGCCAGGTTGGATAGGGCTTTGAATAACCTGGACTAGTGAAAAGTGGTAGGGGGATTGAATGATCTTTTAAGGTCACTTCCAACCCAAACCATTCTATGATTCTGTGATTTTTTAAAGCTTTTTTAAAGTCACTTACAAAAACAATAAGAGAATCCTTTAAATATGTAGGGGCAATGGGAGTTCTTCTGTTTGCTCAGAGTGATAGGTAAGTGTGATGTGCAGTGAGAGTTGAACTCAGGGAATGACACAGTAGGAGAGATGTTTCTCCTTAAAGCGTGCCACAGTTCTTTGCTTTGGCAAAGTGTGCATTGGTACTCGATCAGTACGTTGTACTTGTCAGGGCTAATAGTAAAGGGAATCTTGACCTTTTGCTGCTGCCTTGTCAGCTCTCTGGTGGTTTTGTATGAAAGAACCGAGCTGTGTGATGGCAGGAACAGCAGTGCTTGGAAAATGTTTTAATGTCTCTGTCTTTTGCTCTCTCTCATGAATACAGCCTAACGTCGCTTCAGCCGATGGCACCGTGGCACTGAGCAGTCCTTTGGTGGCCACTCTCGCTGACAGAGGAAGATTTGAGGTCGTGCAAAGGCTGTTTGCTTCATCAAACATTAATCTGGAAATGACAGAGTCTTCTGTAAAAGCTATAACTATGAAAGAACCGAGATTCTTCCCACTTGTTCTTTATGTTGCACTGTATGGACTTCGTGCTTTAGGTGGGAATGTATAGGAGCTGTACTGAGTATCCAGTTTTTGCCCTAGCCTGTTGTTTTTTCTGTAGCTCTGTAATTTTGGTGTGTTTGGGATCAGCAGTAGAGCTGTTCTGTTGGTACTTAGGGCAGCACAGCCAGGAATTAGGGTGACTAGGGGACTCTGCAGTTTCAGTGGAGAATACATAAATAAGGGATGAAGGCAAGAAATTAAAAAAGAGCCATGGAAGATAAATTGAACATAGCTGCTCTGGTAGGTGTGTCAGGTCTGCAGGGCAGTGAAAGCCGGATTGTTTGCATTAATATGCACGGGAGAAAACAGCAAAGTACGAACTGCTTTTTGTAAGCAAGCAAACACTGGAAACCCAGGGTTCTGCAATGCAGCAACTGTTTTGCTCCTTTTAGCCTGGGTGTGCAGAATGCCTTCACTCTGGAGCAAGTGCAATGGAGGGCTCTTAGAAAGGTACTCAGATTCTCTTATTATTATTTGGCTTTGTAGGGATTTATACCTCTGTACAGCATTTTTGTTTTCTGTTATGTCTTTACTCATGTTAGCCAGTTTCAGCTGTTTAAACTGCATTCTGAACTTTGAGGTATGGCAGTGCCTTTTGCTGTGTGCACATGAAAGGTCCCTGCTGCACACCACAAAAATCATCATTTTACCCATATGACATTTTCAGTGCAGATATTTTGCTTGTTTCTTTGACTAACAACAAAGTATTAGTAAAGCACTGTGTGCTTGAACTATTTTGCCTGGTTTTTCATCTTAGTTTTTTGTAATCATGGATGGAACAGAAATGCAGCAGAGATCACTGTAAATGTGGGCTTGGGAAGATGATGTTCCAAGTGGGTGGAGTATCAGTGCTTGCACATGAGATCATCAGATGGCTGAGAGACAAACAAGCAGGCACCTGTGAGGGGGTGATCAGTAACCAGGCCCTGCAGCGTAGCTGGTGGGTAGGAGTTCTGCTCAGTTTCCTACTCTATTCCCACATGGCCTTGAGCAGATTGTCTAAGAAGCCTTTAAAAAGTCATATCAGTTCAGTTTTCCTTGAGGACATGGACTTTGCAGAAAAGCACCACGGTGCCTTTGCATTCCCTGAGAGCTCAGGATAGCTCTGCACGCTGGGACGTGGGCGTTTCTGCATCTCATCTGTTAAGTGAAGCTGATGGTGTTGCCTGAACTTTGTGCTGGTGTAGAAGATTCTTCAGGAGCTGGAAGCATGGAACTCTGCTTCTGGGAGCGGGGTGCAAGTGGGAAAGTCGTCTTTTGCCTATCACTACTAAAAGTTGCTTCTGTAATGAGTTTACAGAAACCTTCTATTAAATGCTTATGTCAAAACAATAGAATAACTTATGCATGGAATTTTCACTGCTTTCCTTTTGGGGACTACATATTTGACAAACAAGTGATTCTAGGCTAGCCTTACATGGAAAATGCTTTTTCAAGCTTAGATTTGGTCTTCCCTAGGAAAGGAGGAGGTGGTAGAACACGCAGAAGGGGCTTCAGAGGAGGCTGAAACTTCTCTCATAAAAGGTTTGATTCATACACTGACTTAACCTCCCCAGACTGCTGCTTCCCTTTGCCTTCCCCAGGAGGAAGGTCGGAGAATCCGTACCTTTGCAGTGCAGGAGGAGGTCAGCAGCCTTTCAAGGAGTATGTGCTACCTGCAGAGGCCAGCAGGCTCTGCCTTGTACCCAGCACTTGCCTCCTTCCATCTGCTCAGTCCGAGTCCCCTGGGCTTTGTCCGCTGGCCCACTGCAGTGTGGGCCCAGGAGAACGACTCCCTTTGTGCTGCAGTGCTCAGAAAATCAGGTGCCCAGATTCAGCAATGACCATTCCAGGGCGGCTGAAGAGCCCCCAGGGTCTCCCTGTGGTGGAAAGGGGATTTGGCACATTCACGAACATCAAGATAAACAAGACCAGCTGAAAAGCTGCTTTTATGTAGGTGGAGCACCGAGATCCAAAGATAAAAGGCAGATTGAAAGACTGGTCCTTGATAGGTTATGTGGCTCAAATGCAGACTATTATCAAAATAAATTTAAAAAAAGCCAGTCACATTTTTTTCAATATTAAATCTTTATTATATACAAAAATATTTTGTTGGGAATTAACAGAATTTCATAATTTGTACATTAACATTTTTATGTTTGGCTGTGTTTATTGTGAAAATATTAGCTGTGAAAAAGACAAGGTGGGGGAGGTCTTAGAAAAACAAGTCACAATTTAAAAACATCCCACATAATAGCTGACTTTATCAGTATGAAGTCACAATGCTAACAAGTCCCATATCCTAGGCCTGCTCTACAGTACTGTATTCAAACAATTAAGTACTAAATAATTTCCAGGTTTACATTAAAAAATTTAGCTAATACTTAAGATTTTTTTTGTAGGAAGTTTTTAGCTAAAGAAACTAATTTTTTTACAGGAGAGCAGTTTTGAAAGTTTTACAAATTCAAATCCAGGTTAATTTCATATAGCGTAGAAATAAAAAAAACCCACAAAACAGAAAACAATGAGAGCTGGCAAAACCAGTTGAGAGAAGAAGCAAGGTAAGGAAACGCGTGGTGACAGAGTTCTAATACACATTTAAACCCAAACACAACCAAGATCTACAGTTCTTAGCCCAGCGTGGGGTCGGACAGCAGCAAACTTTCTTGTTTTAAACCCCACAGAAGCAATTCCCCTCCCTACACCACAGTGCACAAGTGTTACACATGGGCAACATATGGGGGGGTGGGGAAGGAATGCTCAACGTGCATTTTCCTAGGGGGAAAAATTATATTTCAACAGTTATCTCCATACATAATTGTGTACAAGACATAAACCAACAAAAATCAGTCAAAACCTTTTTTTGCCTGTACAAAGCAGCGCCGTTCATTTTGCTTTGTGCTATGGATCACGTGAGAGGTCAGGTAACAGGGAGACTGGGTATTTGGAAGAGGCTTTACTGTATTTAGGTAAATGTTGGCTGCTTGTGGAGTAACCAACAGTTGGCTCAGCCATGGGAACAACCAAAATTTCATGGAAAAGCATTAGCATGGAGTTAGTGACATAAAAGGGAAAAGGCTAAATGGGAGAAGGTGATTCCAGCACTACTTTAACTGTGTTACCTGACCACTGTCCTAGCAGCAAAAGGAACTCCATACCCAATGAGCATAAGAAACAGTTCCAAATACTGAGAAAAAAATTAATTTACTTCAAGTCTCATTAATTCTATAAAATATAAATATTGCTGAACCCCTGCTGAATAAATTCCATTTGTAGGTGAAACTGCCTAACAGCTTTCACCAAGCTGGGGTTTGTTTTTAAGCCTGTACCAGTAAATCTCAGCTGCAGTACCAGCAAATGTACTGAGAATTCAGCAGCTGACAATGTGACTGTGGAATAGTATCCCACTGAGGAGAATTCAGGTAAATTAGCAGACACTGCCTGAATTACTTGCAGCCTTTACCCCAAAGTTTTATTTATATATATATGGGTGTTGGTGTGTGTGGGCACAAGCACATTTTTAATGTGATTAGAAGCCAAAGCTGCCTGTAAAAATAACCAAAATGGTTATTTTACAAGTGTCTTCTATTTTTTTTTTCAGGATCTGTCTTGGGCCTAAAACCAGTAAGTTACACCAGTCCTAAATACTGATGTTCTTGTTAACTACTATTTCCTCTATAAGACACAAGTTGAGAATCCCAGACAATTCCCATCAGCAAGCCTGTTAAACGTATGTGAAAACTAGGAAATACAGGCCAAAAAAAGAAGAAACCCAGGGGGAAAAAAAGAGATGGGCCAGGACTTCACTTCAGCACTGTCAGTCAAAGCAGTCCACTAGAGAAAGCAAATTAAAGTACCCCTAAGGATAGAAACCCTTTCAGTGGCCCAGGAGAGGTTTTTATTGCAGGGAGAGGAAGGTGCTGGGAGCTGAGGGGTAGTTAAGGCAAGAGGCCCAGCAGACTATGAGTCTTTGATCCAGTACCCACCACACAGACACCAATAAAATGATCTCACTGCTTCTGCAAAAGTAGCATCATGAAGTTTGGCAATAACCATGTGGTATTTGAACTCTTTGGAATCTGGGTGAGGCAGGAAACCCCGCACGAGGCAAACAGCCTGTACAGATGTGCACAACATGCGACAGAGCTCCAGCTGTTGGTTGTCTGAGAGCTGCACCTGCAGGCACAATGAGGGGCAGCTGCTGCAGGAGGCACTGTCCATGCACTGGGACACGGCCTCAAGGTTCAGTGTGAGAGGAGAAGCAAGCTACAGGAAGCCTGGATGGGAAACCATGGGATAGGTGAAGGGAGTTCATGGTCGCAATATTGGCTCATACATAAGGACAGGCAAGAACCCAGTTCCTGATCTCTGGAGTGCTCTGCTTGGTCGCTCTCCACTGGGCCTTGAGCACAGCAGACACCAACTGGGCTCAAGGGGGTACCTACCCAGAGAAAGTTTCCTATTTCTTAGCTGAATCACCCTCTTCAATAAAGAAAACCAAACACAGGTGACTTCCTGAGCACTGAGCTGCAGGCTCAATTTGTAAGCAAGTCACTTTAGGAATGATTTTAGAAGATGCAGTGAATAGAGAGGATGAGGAAAAAAATGTCACAATTAGAGCTCAGCCAAGATGTGACAGTTTATATAAACACAAATTCAAAAGCAATGAGCTGATCTGCCATCCTGCTCCACAAAACTTTCGTACAACAAAGCACAGAGAGCTGCCCTGAGCCGAGAACACGGCACAAGTCACGGATACTGCATTGGTTATGAACTCGAATTTCCTTGCCTACAAAGATCTGTGATTCCACTCCATGTTTACCTTTGTTGTAGATTTGCAGAACATTTTAAAAGACTTTGATAAATCTATGCAAGATGACATATTCCATTATAATTATTCCACTAAACTTGGACTGCATCTTGTCACATGATGCAGAACCTAAAGCAGACCTGCTATAACACTTAGAGACAGCAAGGTCATCACCTGGGTACACGATGCACCACTGTATTTACAGGAGAGCTGAGATTGGTGCACGCTTAAGTGACTTTTTGGTGAATTCAGGGAAATAACTTACAGGTCTTGGCATACTGACTGTACTTCTATGTATAACTTTTCATTCACAGGGCAACTACAGTGTTTCTTCTATAAGTCTCTATATGTACAGAATTTTACAGCACCTCATGCACTGTCCAAAACAGATAGAAATTACAGATAAATATAGATTTTTTTTTTAGATTGAAATATCTGTATATTTAAAAAAATATACATTAGTAAACACAATAAACCAGGTCGAGAAGTGTACCAGTTCTAAAGTCTCACATGCAGGTACATTTCTGGATTAATTTGTGGTAGCTTAGTAATGTGATAACCAACATGAGCATTTTTTGTTTTACCATCCACATACATACATATACACAGACAACTATTTGATAATTTACTTTTCTAAACTACTTAAATATTTATCTTGTGATACATACCACATATCTTAAACATTTAGCAGCATCTTCACCTCGCTCAGACACACCTATTGTAATCTAACAGTCAATGTAAAGTTTTCCCGTTAGTATCTGGAAAATAAATGTTTAGTACAGAATGAGATAACACAAAATCCCAGTTAACTCCTCCAAAATACTCCAAACGGGTGTATTAGGAAATGTTTTCACTTGCTCAAAATGAGCCTTTCATAGTGTCTTTCTCCCCTAATTGCACAATGTCTGACAGCTGATGCAGCACACCCTGGCAGGTGGGGGCTCTCACTGCTGTGGATGTGACTGAAACAACACCAGCATTTCAAGAACCTCCAAGAACATTCTTCTTAAAAGACAGTAACTGTTATTCCAGTCATGCTACCAGGTGGGGACAAACTAAGCAGAGTATCTAATGAAAATCAGATTTTTTTTTGTGCCAAAACCCAAAACCACCACAAAGAAACATAGCAACCTCTGTCCCTCTCACCGTTAAACCCTCCAGTGTGAACCCTCAAGATTTAACAAACACATGCAAGGTGTGTGGTGTTTGGATTTGGGCTGTTTTCCCACCCAGCCTGGCATGCAGACATCCAAATCAGACATGCAAACACTTCCACATGATTTTTGTGCCAACCCAAGCAAGTAACCTTCTCTTACTGCATCAGAACTGCACTGCAGAATCACTCACTGCCATGTACAACACCACCACCACCCAAAGCTCAGCCACAACACTCCACTGCCTGATTTAAGCACACAGTGTGAACTTGTAGCACACATCAAAGCTTTAGGCTTTAGCAAATATGTGGCATTCTGGAGATGGCTAACTAGAGAAGGCTCTCTTGACAGTATTATCCCTGGGATGGAAACAGAATGAGTAGAGAGAGGCTTTCCTGGCTTAACCTCAGTAGCTGTGTTTCATGTGTTTGGTCCAGTAAATTTATGGAAAAAAAAAAAAAGATGAAAATGAGTGATGTTTGCAATATGAAGTACTGTGGTGAGTAAACTGAAGAATCTTCTCGTTCCATTCACTGGGGAAGAGTGAACTCAGCCCACTTTTGGCATCACAAGTAAGAGTGTATTTCTAGCTCATAATGAAAAGGCATCTTATCTGTCCAGACAGCACATCTTATTTACAGCATATGGAGGTCTCCCATGATACAGTACACAAACACAGTTCAGTCATGTTCAGCACAGAGTGCCAAAAGCAAACCACTGAAATAGCCAAGCAACAGCCCTGCTAGCATTTGCTGCTACGCACAACACTCATCCACTTCTCAAAGCAGCCTCTGAGCAATAGGATCCCAGAACGTGTCTCCTGGGAAAGAAAACTACACGTCCTATGCTGGTGCCACATTTAAGAGCTCTGCCAAACTTAAAACCAGAGAAAACACATCCTGGAAAGCATAACAATAAAAATAGCATTGGTACAAATTTTCCTTAGAGAATTTCATATTCCCTCTGAAAGACTGAAATCTCAGTATTAAGAGCCACAAAGATCTCCCATGCTAATACACAAGCTTAACTAACTTTTTTCCACATACACTGGGATTTCAAGTCTCCTCTGCCCCTCTTCCCCCACAGCAACCAACTTTACAGGCTGTGTAAAAACCATCTGTTGTATATGGGTGTTTTGAGGTTTTTTTAAACAGTTTTCCTCTACTCTTTCCACTCCATTTTTTCTTTTCCTTGTGCACATAAAAGTCTTTTCAGAGCCCCAGGAAGCAACGCTGTTTTACAATGTCTAAGTCTGTCTTCCTCCAGAAATAGTTCTGAGGAAAATGCCCTTTGATAGCATTCCAGGTCACACTTTGGTGTTGAAAAAGAATCCTGAAGCCAGGTGCCTGTCACCAGATAGAGGAGGAATTAAACAGATGACTTCAGTATAAACACCTAGCCTGGTATGTGATGGTGAATATGACTATATACAACAGCTGACAGTGTCATATAAAACATGGTCACAAAAAGCTCATCTGAGCAACAAGCTGTGTTTTCCTTCTGTTCTCATTTTGCAGAAATTTACATCAGCTTAAGTTTTGATCAATGAACCTGAACCTAATATGACATATCAATGAGCCTACTGAGGGGAGAATTGTCACTAAAAAGGAAATACACTGTAAACAAAAAAACTTATAAACAACATTGCTTCTTAGCAGTAAGCTTCCAATTCACAAGCTATCTAATGAAAAATGCAATTAAAAACAATGTAAGAAAAAGCACAGAAATGCCATTACACAACACTCATAAAATACAGCAGTTGGTCACACGCAAATATTTAAAAGATAATTTAGAACCCAGCTAGACATCACAGGAAATGAAGCCACAGATCACTATACAAATACAGAACAATGTCCTAAGAAAAGAAAATACTTTTTTTTTTTTTTCTTTTTTTAAGCAATGTGTTCTCACAAGAGTGAATAAATAGTCCTAAACATTAAATGTCACCTACAAGGCTCTACATTATCAGGTTCTTTCTCAAGCTACTTCACCATTACTCAAATTGCACTGAATTACCTTGTGTATGACTTTCTAATGTCAGTACTTCAACTGTAATGGGCTAACAGGTTGGCTCCCAAGAAAGCTTAATAAGCAGCTTGCATGGTATTGCTCTGTTATTTTAGGAGACAGATAGAAGGGAACCTACACTAAAAGTTATCTAAATCAGGAGATATCAAGAACTTGTGAAACATCAGGAATGCACCAACATTAAGCTGAAAGCAGCTGGAGCAAAGGACCTGTGTTTTTGTTACTGCTTTTAATATTTAAAATTCTGCTTCCATGAAATTATTGTTTTTTAAAGATGAAAAAAAACCCCAAAGAAATTAGTGTTCTTTCCTAATAAGAGCTATAGACTTTTGATCAGTTAAACACTGACATTAACAAATTTTACAAAAATTGTTTCAAGTATCCTTTTTTTAATCACAGTGAAAATGTAAGACCAAGATGTAAATGTTGAAGTGAATGAAAGTTTCTTAGATGAAAAAGGCAAAGGTACTAAATCAAAACATAGAAAAATGCTTAAACGCATTTCCTTCATGTGATATGAATAGAAAGGTTATCTGTAAAAAGTTAGAAAAATTAAAATAAATTACATATTTAAGTACACTTTCTCCTCAACATTTTTATAAAAATTCAGAACAGTGTACTTTTGAATATACACAGAGTAAAAATGCACAGGTGCTGTAGGTTATCGTCAGTATCTACACATCACATTTGCTGCTGCTGACTTTATTTGTTACTTAAGCTCCCGTTGGAAGGGCTCAATAGACCCAGCTGATGGGGACCCACTGCGGCTCCAGCCTCAGTCTCTCGATGGCCGTCTGCAGCTTCTCGAAGGCTTTGTCCAGGTTGTCATTTACAATGGTCAGGTCAAAGTAGTGGTTGTAGGCTCGCTGGATCCGGGCGCTCTCATCCACTGTTTTTTTCAGATCAGTGTCCTGTGGAAGAGGTTTTTAAGGATTAGTGAATCTAAATCTTACTAAAGATTTAAAGATAAGACTGGGCAAATCCTTATAGATGCAGAAGAAGATCCCTTCAGTACATACTGCAACTGACTATTTAAAGCTAGATACTGAATATAGTTTAAAAATAAGGAAAGTTTTCATTTGTAGTAAATTCACACAGAAATTTAGCTAAAATACATTGAAAGGGCTGAAAAAGTTCTGAGCTGTGTCAGTAATGTTAAATATGGTAAGCAAATGTTTGCCAATCTTCCGATTTTGATGAGAATCAACAGAAGCACGTGGACTTGGGCTAGTGTGTACAATGAGCAGCTGATCACTTTTTATGGGCAACTGATGATCTAACCAGAATAAAATTAATGCTTTAGGAATGACTGAGTCAATCAGTTTTGTAAATATATTTGTGCCCCTTTTATTTCCACAGAAGGCACCAAAAATCCAAGATTTTAAATTTGTATGAAATGAAAGACAATTTCTAGCAGAATAAAGCTCTAGAATACCTTATGGCTCTTAGAGACAACATTTCAGCCTAGCTCACCTGACACCAGTCCCTCACTTGTAAACTACTGCTGCATTACTGTAATCCTGCCATGAGCTGCAAAATATGTAGGAAATTTAGATTCCTACATTATGAAGCCTTTATAAAGTGCCTCTGAGCACATTTCTGTGTTTTGCTAGTCCTACATTCTTTAAAAATTCCTCTCCATTTTTGCACAACAGCAATTTTTTTTGTGAGCAGTTATGAGGTTTGACCCTCTTTACAGTATTTATTTCAGTGTTTTCAAACAGCTGTCAATATAAAAGCCAAAATGAAAAACTAAGTTTGTCTTTCCTTCACAGTGAATGAAGAAGACAAGTAAATGTATGATCACGAGAGCCAGACTTTTTGTAATGGAATGGGTTAGGATGCTAGAAATCATACAGCCAGGTCCACTAGTAAGCAAATCATCATACTTTAAATGACATTTGTTTTTCATTTGTTCAGGAAGCACAAGAATATGAAATAGCAAATCATACTCTATATACATGTGCAGGGATGTGATGCAGAATCTGTAAAGACACATAAATGCATATTTGAAATTTAATGACGCTCTTTATTATTTGTAAGAAGTACTACAGAGGCAAGGATGTCCCTTAGGGAATCAAATATTAGGAAGTGCAGGAAATTATTTTTATACTTGTCTGGAAAGTTTTAACCTTGCCTTCTTCTATATGCACCATAAAATTCCGGGTTCATTTGGAGCAGGAAAGAGGAATGACTGAGCATCCACAGAGATACTAGAATGCATAATAACCAGAACTCATGACTAAAAATCATATAGTCATTTAGTGGAAATACTAACCCACCCTCCCATTTTATAGCTTTGAATGCTCTGTCAGCATTTATTCAAGATACTCCTATGTTTCTGCAGTGCTACTGTTATGAGCCATCAGCAGAACACAGTTTTTCTCCATTGGGAAAGTTGAACTGCTCAGACTGGCTTTTTTTTAATTTGCCCCTGCAGCTGGGAAAGTTCATGCCCACACAGAATATTTATACTTTGCTGCATTGGAGGAAACAACTTATTTCCCTCTGCTACACATAGTGTCTCAGAAAAGGAGGGAAGATCTAATGAACAAAACATGCCACTTCACTTTATATGACAAATCCAAGAACTTCAGGGGAAGCTGTTCAACGCTTTATTCTGGCAGCTCTCAGCCATTCTCAGTGCAGCACATGCTGCTGCAGCAGTGAAAACAAGGACTAGCTGCATTCTTGGGGATTTTTTTGTGGTTTGTTTTGGAGCTTTTTTTGTTGGTTTGTTGGTTAGAGCGGTTATTGCTTTTTCCTTTTTTTGACACAAGCTGCAATACCTTTCCTAAGCATTATAGATGCTATTTTTAAAGCACGTATGTCTTATTAAGACAAACAAAAATTTGGGTGGGGAAGGAGATGGGAAAGTCAAGGAAAGACATCTGCATAAAAGAACAATCCCCACCATGAAATATCTACCATTTACTGCAAATAATCAAAGGTGACAGTTCCCAAAGTATACAAGTAATTTTTGTAATCAACACTTCACTTTAAGAGGTCTATTTTTAAGAAAGAAGCAATCTTCCTTATACACAGCATTTGATTAACTTCTACTAGGTAATCAGCAAAAGTCTTGCCTAACTTTACTTAAAGACATTAATTTCAGAACAAATCCCATCTAAAATGAATGGTAAAGAATTTAAAAAAAAAATCTAAGAACATCTTGTTCAAAGCAAACTGAATAAGAAATTATCTGCTTACAGTGAGAAGTTTGGTTGTAATTCCAGCATCTACCACAGCCTTGTGCATAGCTCGCAAAGTCTCCAACTCTGGAGCAGCAATAAACACCACATAGGGCATGAATTCTGAAGTCCTCAGTATTTTTAGGGCCTAGAAGCAAAGAAAAGGGAAAAAAAAACCACTAAAGTTTGAGAATGACTCACCAGATCTCTTGTTACTTAAGGGACACCACAAAACTCTGCTGTTCAAATGGGCAGCAACACTTAAGTGAAGATTTTTATTTCTATTTAAGAAATTCCTGCACTGCCTTTTTAAATGCTCAGCACCATTCTTTCCTTGGCTTAAAAGATTATTTACTACTCGGCAAGACTTCTCTTTCATGCAGAATTTAAGCTGGATTTTTTCCATCTTTCTAACCCATTCCAAGTAAGTGCCAGAAACACAAGAATCCAGTTGATAACTGTAACCTTGAAACCAGGTAAGAAGCCTTCAAATTTGAAGGCATCTCTCTTCACCTCTTCAACACTATAATCCCACACTTGTTATAATAACAACATTATCAATCATATACCTGTGGATTTACGTCCAAGATACAGGTCCTTCCTGTCTGAACAACTTCAAGGATGGAATCAATTTTGGTGCCATAAAGATTTCCTTCATATTCTCCATGCTCTAAGTATCTGCCAGCTTTAATATCCGTCTCCATTTCAGCTCGTGACACAAACCTGTATGCTTGCCCATCCTTTTCATCATCCCTTGGCTTTCGTGAAGTAACTAAACAAAAAATTTAAAATATAAATTGAATGTTTTTGTTTAATATTTGGAATATAACTATGAGACTGGACTGCCTATTAAGTTAGGGACACTACAATGCATATTGTTATACAATACAATACATGCTGTTATACAATTGCAATTGCTCCATGTACAGGTTTATTCATTATTCTAGATAAATTTTAAAACAGAGCACAGCCCCTCTTGTTGTCTTTATTTATATTCCTTCCTATATGTTGCTTACCCACCCATTTGCCTATTTCCTTTGTCTTACTCCTTCACACCATATACAATACTCATTCATGTCATCTTTTTAATCATTCACTTAATAAAATACTTATTTAAGTGACTTGGAAATCAAACGGAAGTTTAACTTTCAAATGCCAAATGTACTTCTGAAAACAGCTGAGCACAATAAAATCTGCCCATCCCACCCCCAAAACCTTTGCTCTCTGTATTTGCCCTGTTTTTCAGGGTAGAATTACCTGAGCTAGCTATAAAGAAAGTTAGCTTAAATATCAGAAGCAGCCCAGCCACCGTAGCAGAATCTTAGTGGAGGCCAGCTAATGCTGCTTTCCAGGACAACTTCCCTTTTAAAGCAAGGTAAATTCCCTGTAGAAAGATTAAAGCCAGTATTTGAGTAAATCATTATCAACTGCCTTGGGTATTGGCTACACTGTGCAGTACACACACACTACTTAAGCAAAAAAAGTAAAAATAAAATTTAAAAAAAGTAAAATAAAATATAACATCATATTATTGACTTTGCTGTCCTATCACTGTATTAACTACCATCTACTTGTATTTAATTAGATTTGAACTCTACAACATATTAAACATAACAGCCAATGCATTCATTTGATAATACTTCTATCATCACTCCGTGCAACTTGAGACAAGTGGAAAGCAATCTTTCCCTTCCAGTCATTCCTATCCACTTCAATCTTACAGAAAACACAAGTGGCCAGGAGAAATGATCATCTGAAGCTGTTAAGAATAAATACATTACTAGAACATCTAGTTTTAGTCAAGATTCCATGGAAAGATTAAAACTATAGTGGTTAATAGTACATGAAAAAGAATAATATATCAGTTTGCAATTAATTTTGGAGAGTAAGCTTTAACATTTTACAGCTAGGAGATGATTTAACAGTTCAGTTATCCACACTGAAATAAAACCACAGCACCATGTGCCGGATTAGAACTCAACACCAAGAACACTCTTCTTCCCATAGCACAATGGATCCATTTCACCCATTTCCCACTGCCCAAAACACATCCTACACAAATTTGTTTATGAATGAATGACTTGGAGAATTTTATTCTAATCAAAGACCAACTAAGTTTACTGATTATCCCACTTAAAACTAAAGTAGAGAAGAGGTTCTATATACAGTAAATGGGTATTGCATATGCATGATTAGACTATCAGATTGGGAAAAGTTTACTTTTATGCCTTTGAAGAATGTCCAACAACTATGTTGCATTACTTACATATATTCAAGCATCTATGCAGCATTTTAGAGAAATAAGTAATTCTGAAGGCTTTTTTGAAATAGAATAAGAATTTTAGAAGCAATAAAATGCCTCTTATTGTTTTGCCAATATAAAATGATTAAATTCCCAGGAAAATATTTCTTTAAAAAGTAACACTGAGAAGTCAACCTGGTTATCCACAAACTAATTCTAAATGCTCTGGCCGTTTTTGATGCTAAAGATTCAGCAAACAAGAGAGACTGGTTCTCTCATCTTGCACAATTAATCTTTCAGACCTGTCTCTCCCCCTATTATTATCAGATCTAGAGTAGGAATACTGCAACTTACATGGCACTGTAGTTCCAAATCTAGTAGGATTCAGCACAATAAACCTGTTCTTCAAACTCCTTCGCCCCACTCCTTGGGCCCCAATCAAGACCAGAGTTTTCCTCTGAAAAGGAGGCATTTTGGCTACTTCCTCATATATCTGGATTTCATGGCGATCAAATTCTACATTGAGAAATGTATAAAATATTTTAATACACACTCAGGGCTGTGAGAAAAAAAAAAAAAGTAGTCCTACCATTTATCAACAGACCCCATGTGAATATCAACAGTACTCAGAGGGCAGTAGGTCTGATACAAGATTTCTTAAAATTGGTTTGGGAATAAAATAGGTATTCCTCCATGGACAGAATAAGGTCAGGTTCTCATTTTTACTTCCAAGGAGGAAGTCTATGTTTGATCAGAAGGGGAAAACTGATTAACAGTTTGTGAAGTTCCACAGAATCATGGGATGGTTGAAAGGTACCTCTGGAAGGCATCTGGTGCGCCCCAATGCCCCGGACCACACCCAGGCACTTGTTAAGTATCTATCTCCAAGGAGGGCAGCTCCACAACCTCTCTGGACAACCTGTCCCAGTGCTCAGTCACCCTCACAGTGGAAAGGGTATTTTCCGATATGAAAAATCACTGGCAACAAACATTTCACTTTCTTTTCTTAACACCCAGTTTTCCTCTGATTTCCACCCACCAAATGATGTACTCAGCACAGCCATGTCTATAACAGTCACTATTGCTTTTAAACCACAAAAACTATCTGATCTATCAAACTTATAATCAAATATTTTACTGCAAATCTTTAGCTCTGGGTATTTGGATACTACATCCTGCAAGTTTTGAAGCCTAAAGAACTTTGACTTTCATGATATATTAAGAGATACCTGCATTTCTTGTAGTGAGATACATCATCTTTTTCTTTTTCTTGCTGCTTATTGTTCCACAGAAAGGCCCTAAAAATAAAAAATTAGATGAACTCACAATTTCTGTTAATTTCCAAAGCTTATTTACATGAATATATGAAATTTTAGATTAATAAATTTATGAGGACTATTCTAGATTTGTATATATCCTAGAGCAAGAAATTACATCTATTTACAAGCCCATCAAATGGTACAGAAAGAACTGAACACAGAGAAAAAAATATTTTTCTTGAAAGAAAACAGCTGAAAAATTCATGTGTAGCTTATTAACTTTCAGTGCATATCATACAAAAAAATTTTTAAAAGTGCACACTGTCTGTCCCACCTCATTCAGCTTTCCATCACCAGGTGGCAAAACTGATTCATTTCTCTTTGAATGCTAAACAGAGACTTCACCCTTTGTCCTTCAGTCAAAGTCAAAACACAAAATTCAGCATTTCACAATCTGTGTAATCTCACATAGCAGTTTTTCTATTATTTATCAAGGCAGAAAAAGCAAAACAAATGGAGTCAGAGCACAATCTACTCTTGAAATGCACTAAATCTCACCTGAGTTGTCCCAGTCCCTCCTAACAAAAACATGGTGTTGACTGACTTCCACACTGCCAGTTTCTCAGTGGTGAGTGTTGATACATTTACTACTGAGTCTCAAAAATTCAAAGTCATATGTAAATATTAGAATTCTCCTTTACAGAAATAGTGTTTTTCTAATGAGTATTAAAATTCAGAAGACTTAAGTAAAATAGATGCAAGTTTCATTACTGATTCCCATTATGTTAGTAAGCTCCTGCAGCCATAAAACTTTGGCATAAAATTCCCAAGTGGAATTCTCTGACTCCAGACACTGAAGTCTCTGGTGAGAAAACTCAGGATTTTCTAGTATACAGTATACTTATTTTGTATTCTTGAGCTGCTACAAACAGGTTCCAGTGCAGTTTATTAACTGTCATTTCCCAGTGAATGCCAGTAACACATCCCTAATCATGCCTTCGAGCTTTTTGCACTAAGCAACTACAGATTTAAAATCTTAGTAATTTAAGTATTCCCAGTAATGAATTGGCTAAAATTCTCTATAAATAATTTCATGAGAAGCTCAATTCTCAGCTTAACACACAAAACCACAGTTATGAAGTATTTAATTTTCCATAAATCTTTTGCTTGCATTAAATCCTTCTTTTGCTAACCGGAGATGTTTGCTTTTCAACTTGCATGCTGTTATCTATGACTAACTGATTTTTTACAGTATGAAGTTTTCATTAGCAGTCTAGTATTTCTAGAAAGCATAAGGAAAAACTAAACTTCTTTTTCCTGGGGCATGATCTGCATAGCAATACACTATACTGATTTAACACATTTCAATTTTGCCAGATTGAGTGTTGAAAATTTATTTCTCCTGGACTCCCACAAGTTACAACTGGAGAGCTTGAAAGGCAATACAGAACTCAGCATGGGAGCTAAACATCAAACTCTTCCAGAGTTTTGGATTGTCTACTTCTGAAACTAATTAAGTTGGCAGCAATAAATTTTCAGCCTTTCCTCACACTTTTTATTGTCTTTCTGTTATTACTGTCACTGAGAAGCAACAAAATTCAGCAGCTGATGATGTATATTGAAATATTTCTGTTGCTTTTAAAGAAGTCATATATCTTGTTCTCAGGTAGTGTCTGGCTCTCTTCTGCTTGTTACCTTGCAAAGGGTGAGCAATATAGGGATAGAAAGGGAAATAAATAATGCTAAACTCTTTGCCAGTTTTGAGGATCTTGGTTGAGAAAAGGGTCTTAAAAGTTCACTTGTCCCATTTTCAGAGGCACTGATAATACTTAATTCTGTGCATAGTGTCTTGGAAAAAATAAACATAGCATAAGCAGTGGATTACATTTCTACTGAAGGACTGAGTGTAGAAATACCACCTTAAACCAGGATGAACTGTTAATATTCAAAATATGCCAAGCACTGTAACTATGAGCTTGCATGGTACAGCTCACAGACACTGATCACCACTGTTGAAATAAAATATACAGCCTTTCCAAACAGCTATTCTCACCCCCTTAAAGTTCACAGGATTAATTTCCCTCTCCTCAATTCTGAGCACTCTGGAAGGGGTCCACTTCTTCCACTGTTGATGTCAGGGAACACAATTATAGTTAAACTAAGACTTTTTTCCTAGAAATTTTCCACCTTAAACTGATTTGGGAATGTCCAGGCTGTTGATACAAGAACAAAGACAAACAGCACTAACAGTAAAATCAGTGTTACATAAACAATTTAAAACATTCCTTTTCCTTTAGTGTTTCAATTTCATATCTATTAGCTTGAAATTGGATTACACGAAAAAATGTTTTTTTCATGTTGTCCTGGTTTAGGGTAAATTCTACTGTTTAGAGCAATTTAACTCTATGGAGTTAAATGGAAGTAGATCATAATTTAAAGAGTTCATTATTAAGGCAATTACTGATGCTTTTTAGTTTTTTATCTGACTTATTTTAATCTTTTTACCAACCTGCCACCAATTCGGATCTTCCCGGTTTACAATCTGAAGAATTTCTCCTTTAGAAAATTTCAAACCTGCTTCTTTGCAAGGGATGAGGTTGTCATTATATGGATTATAATCAAAATGACACTTCACAAAAACCTGAAATGTGTAAAAATTAACAAAGCTTAAGCATTATAAAATACATTCTGGCTAATCTATTTGTCAAACTGAAGTAATGTCTTTATCTAACACATAAAAAGCTTGACATGATCCAAGTTGCATTTGGCATGTAAAATACATTCTAGGGGGAAAAAGTTATACACCAACTGGGACAGCATAATCAACAGTGTAAACCTTGGCTGAAGTAGCTTCATGATAAAAATAAAAAAAGCTGTTCCATTTGGACACGGTATTACAAAATGCTCATTTTTGCATTTCAGCATATACAACCCAATTAAAATTCTGACTCCTAATTACTTAAAAATACCAAAAAAATCCTGGAATGTGAGCACTTTATTTAAGGCTTGTGGAATCTTAAGAATTTTTTTGCCATGAACTCAGTGTTTTAGAAGTAACAGGAGATGCAACTGCTTAAGACTCAAATTTGATGCAGGGGAAGAAAGAGTGGGTTGCATGACTGAACTGAAAACATCTCTGACTCTCTTTGTACCAGGCTGGGGAGCAAAGGAAGCCCTGCACCTGCCTCAGTAGAGCACATTCCCTCAGCCTCTACTCAGTGGAAGCATAGCCTGTTATAGCCACAGGCATTAAGACCCACTACCTGAAGGAGCATCTTATACGGTGTTTCAAAGGCACTGATTTAGCTCAGGAAGTCAATTCTGCCATGGAGAAATTGACAGCCTACAGCAACAACAAAAGGATAAGGAATAGCCACCCACTAAAGTCAGCGAGCTCAAGCTCACCTGTTGAATTAAGTATGTTTCTGAATTCTATGAAACTGATTGGTTCAACACCAACCATGTTATAAACACACACAGTTGACTGCATGAAGTGTGATTGTGGTCAGGTCATGAGAGGTCACTTAAGGTCAAAGAAATGTGCTTTATATGTAGCATACAAATGTCGAACAATTTTAGACACTAATTTGATTTTTTTAGGTGGGTGTATTTTTAGATGAATAAACCCATTTCTAAAATGTGATTAAAGGCAAATACAGGTAACTACATTTTACTCTTCCTCCTAGCATTATATTCACAAAATAATCAGAGTATGTCTAATCCAGAATCTTAGAGAATCTTACACAATAAAGAACTGAGCAGAAATTCTTTTCACAGAATCATCAGAAATGTGCTACTGACCTGTTGAGGAATGACAGTGTCTCTGTAGCTGGGGAGAATTTTCAAAGTGACACTTCCACTGATGTTTTTCAGCAGTTCTTGCAATTCTTTTGGATTGTTTCCAACCTCGTGGCCGTTCACCTCTTTAATAATGTCACCTACATGCAGAAGACCTTGCCGATCTATCATCCCTCCATGAAGAATTCGGGCTATTACCAGATCATTGTTCTCAACTCTAAACGTGACTCCCTGAAAGAGGTACATGACACCCAGTATATCACTGTTTGAATTTCAGGTTCATTTTACCATTATCTCGAGCACAAGTACACAGCTGTGGGATATTCCACACACTCCAATGAGAACAGATAGTTACAGCTACTACAGTGTAAGAGCTCCTGATACAGAAAAGCATCAGGTGACACAGAAGTGCTTTCACACAAAGTTTTCATACAACTGAAAAAAACCTGTTGCTCTTGCTTGCATGCAATCCTTTAATCTCATATCAGGACCAAATAGATGTTGTGTTACTCAGTTATGCTAGCAGATCATTCAGCCCAGTGACTGCCTAATCACTATCCCATTACTGAGCTTATCACCCACTAAATTACACAATATAATGGTAATAATTAACACATAATGCAAGAAATCAGGTACGTGCAAATGTTTTCACTAGCACTTTAAAGACACACTCATCCCCAATTACTTACTAGTGGTTCTCCTGCTCTTTTGTGAATTCCAAGGATACGAATAGCATCTACTGGAACAACCTGGTTGTTGACTGAAGAATTATTGACTTCTGGGCTAGAAGGAGGGGAATCGTAACATTTTGAAGCCACAATATCGTGTGCTTCCAAGAGTGACTGCAAAGAAACAGAAAAAAATACTTTTTAAAGTCATGAAGTAACTGTTTGTGAAAATATTTAGCGCTGAACAACCACTGAATCTGTCCTTTTGGGACCAGGCTACTCTTACTTCACATGAAATAAAACAAAACCAGACACACAAGTGCTCAAATGAATTGATAAGCCTATTGCCTTGACAAACATGCTATCTTGTAAATAAAAATGCTGTTTCTTGAGGAAGTATAGGAGAAATGCAACTAAACTGGGGAGGAATGTGTGATGTTAGAAGGGAAGACAGAAAAAGGATTACCTAAAATAATCTTCCACCTAATGAGACAGTATCTGAGCAAATGGTTTCAGTAAATGAACAAACCACTGCAAAAAATGAAGATAACTCATCAATAGATACTTGTGTATGATGCAATAAAATTTTCTTCCACAGTAATTTCAATAATGACAGGTATGCAAGGATTTCTAGCCATCTGCAAAATGAGTGTTCCCTGCTTGCATAAAGGCAAGGCAGAATTCTAGCACCAAATGAATACAAGCTGACAGAATTTACTTTCTGGAAGACAAGAACTCAGGCCATAGAGTTAATGGTGTTTTCACCAGTCCACATACATAAATACAAGGTAGAAGGAGGAGATCCAAATGAATATAATCACATTTGGAAGACAATGTAATTTAGGTATGATTTTCTCATAGAAGATATTTTAAGATAAAGAAAAATGTATAAGACAATACATACAGGTAAACCAAGATTAAATTTGTACATTAAGACAGTGGAGACTTTCTGTCTTTCTGTCACCTTCTAGTGTAAGGTGATGCTGCCTGTGGTGGGGGATCTGGAACAAGATGATCTTTAAGGTCCCTTCCAACCCAAAGCATTCTGTGATTCTGTGAGAGGAAAAGGGACACCTGATAGCCATCATACACAGTAGTGCAAGGTAAAGCATCCTACAGCACAGGGACTTGCACTGACAGATACAGAGAGAGAAGCAGCAAGCAGAAGAGTTGCCTACTGGGCCTCCAACTGCACAGCTTTGTTTCCAACAGTGACTGCTCAGATACAGTCTTAAGGCAGATTACTGACTGTGTCACATAAGTAGCTAAAAAGAGAAGCCACCATGGGACAATCACTGCTACTGACATGGATGTGCCACAGGAAGACAGCAAGCTACCAGAAAGCACAGCAGGAGAGCGGGTAAGAGCCATGATTTGCTATGCAGTCTGCTCCATCCTTCTGTAAGCCACCTCTAAGCTAAAGGCTGTGCAACCACATTAGATTAGTGCTAAGCTCTGCATGCAAGCCCTCCAAGTGTCACAAATCTGAACATTTTAATCTGCCCATTACATGATGAACCTTGTTGATGAACCTGCATGTTTGAATTTGAAAGAAGTATTAATTCACTGATTTTGCCCCTTCCATTAAGACTATAAAGACAGCTGCTTATTGTGGCTGCTCTGATACTGTGGACATACACCAAATCAAATTAAATAGGAAAAACAATCATTTATTTAAATCAAGCAGCTGTCAGATGGTAGCAATTTCTAATTCTTCACTATCCAAGACACATCCAATCCAGAAACCAGGAGAATAGATCTCTCTGCCAATGTTTATAAGCAACATATTTTTGATCTTTCTACGTTTCCAAAATGAAACTAATTTGCATCAGCTACACATTTTTACAGATTAGCACTCATAAAACCAGGTAGATACAATGGTATAAAACTTTCTGTTTTCTTCTGGTCACGTGCCAGATCAAATTGCCTCTGAAGTTTCTGACCACAACGCACTATACTTCTTATAAAGCCTCACAGAGCTGTCTGTACATCTCTTTGCCCTTTAATGGTAACGCAATTTATAGATTATAATCTGATTCACACTCCAGAAAGTCTACTAAGATAACAGTCTGTATCATCCTTTTCAAATTAACATGCTCTGTAAAATTCTTCAGTACTTAAATCTGATCCCATTCCACATTCTGATCCTTTCTAACCACTCAGTTTTATGGATAAGCATGAATTCATACAACTGCTACTTAACCATCTCTTAGTCAAAGTCTAAGTCAAAATTTTTCCTATTATTTACACAATGCCTGAGTCACAAAAGGACTATCAGGGACTGCCCACAACTCTGAAGTGGTTTAAACCTACTATATACAAATATGAATTAGCCGAACCATTCATCCTAAATAGATTCTGCTGGCAATAAAATACTTAATCTGAAAAGCAGCCAGTATTGTCTTCTAATAGTTAGGTTTATAAGGGCTAATCATACCTTTAAAATGTTGCATTTAGAAAAAGTGATCTTAAATTGCCTTCTAGACAGATATTAATATTAATATATAGGGTTATTTCCCCTGAGTTCTTACCAGCCCTCCTGATCTTTCTAAAAAATAGTTCATTGGTTTCCTTAAGGCATAGTTAACTTATTATGTCCCACACTTATTATTAATATGTCCCACACCTAACTTTCAGTTCTGAATCTCAAGAATCTGTACCAGTTTTATGAGCCTGTTTACAGCCAGCCAGGTCATGACCTGCAGTCCTGAAGAACACTTAAGTACAGGCACCTGGCAACGGGGGCCTCGTGTCTGTACCACTGCCGGACTACTCCCCAGCATTTTATGTCGCTAAGTTACTTTCCTATTTCGGGAACATGGCTGAGTGAACTGAGAAATACAGTTACATGAACTTCTCTTGTTTCTTTCTTGTGATATCAGAATAAGTGATATCCTGTGCTCCTGCAACTCCAAAGCTCTCCACTGGAATCTGACCTTTCCATACTGGTGCTGGAACACTTATAAAACCAGTGCCGAAGTCTGCAAAACAACATGGACTGATCAACAACCATAAAATGATTCAAAATTTCCTCCATACAAAATTTCCTCCTGTAAACAGGATCAGCTGACTATCCAAGACTGGATAGCTGTAGAAAGGTTCTCATGGAAATGCCAATACTGTCAGAGAAAGGCATTTAGAAGAACTGCTATAAATCACGAGATAACACACAATGGATACATACAGTCCTGTGACACATGGTACGGTCTCTTTATGCAAGACACTGTCAGAAAACAATCCTTTAACTTAGGAGATGTTGATCTCTCAACAGTAGTTTTCTGAGGCGGCATATAATTGACAGGTAAAAAAATATTTCAAAATGCAATTGAAAATTCAGTAAACATTAAAGATTCATTCATTAAAGATTCACGACCCTCTACAGTGCTGAAGCCAAGTTCAAGCTCAAAATTTGTTTTTCCTAAAAAAATTCTCAACACAATCTAAACGTGTTATGAAGCATTGCCCTAAATAATTCTTCAATTCTAATCCAAAAGAACAATTAAATTACAAACTGGGGGCCTTGGTGGGAGGGAATACACTAGAGTAGAATGACTCTATAGTCTTGAATTCAGGACTTCTTTCCTTTCCACTTTAGGCCTAGAAGTATCTAAAATATTTCCTTTCCTCTTTTATGCACTAAATGTGTGCTAGTCTTCCCTGAAAACCTTGTTTAAATATTAGAACTTAATAAATAGACTAGAGGCCTCTAACGTTCATGTGAAAAGAACACATTTTAAAGACTCTTCTGGAAAAGTGAGGAAGTAATTTATGACCTTAGAAAGATCAGGAGGGCTGGTAAGAACTCAGGGAAAATAACCCTATATATTAATATCTGTCTAGAAGGCAATTTAAGATCACTTTTTCTAAATGCAGCATTTTAAAGGTATGATTAGCCCTTATAAACCTAACTATTAGAAGACAATACTGGCTGCTTTTCAGAGTAAGTATTTTATTGCCAGCAGAATCTATTTAGGATGAATGGTTCGGCTAATTCCTGAAAGGGGAAAGTAACAGAACAAGCTTTTCCTTTGAAGAGAAAGCAGAAATTATTCTTCTGCATGTTTAACCACTCCAACAGTGTGAAAATTTTTACCAGCTTCTTCTTTCCTCAAGGCAACCTCTCTCACCACTCCTGTCTGCTGCTCTCCAGCAGCTACTGTCTGGTAAGATTTGCTTCAGCCTTTTCCATGTGCTGCGTATGCCAGCTGGCTCTCCAACAAACACTGACCTACTGGCCAGCCATCAATACTGTGAAACTCATTAGAACTTTCACACTTTGACCTCTGAAAAGTTCAGTTAAAACTAAAAAGGGTAAAAAGCAGGAGGGATGGAAAAAACGGAAATTAAAGGAGAAAGGAGTAAAGAAAGGGAACAATAATACAGCCTGTATTATATACATGCAGAGTTAGTCCTTCCCAAATGTTCTTCTACAAAAATGTGCAGAAAAAACGAAGTCCTGTAATTTGGTATTTCTGGCACTAAATGATACATTCAAACTACTGCAGTGATGCCTTGTATATCACGTTTTATACTTGTATGCCAAGGCAGGTTACAACTGTAAGGTGATACTGTGATGAAGAGGCATTATTCATTTATAAAATACAAAGTCAACCTCTAAAACAGTTACACAGTGGCGTCCATGAAAGTTTTAAAGAGTCAGGTTGGGTTGTTTACAGCGTTACTAAACTGGAGAAAGGATACAAAGGACATTTTCTATAAATGCGACTGACATTGTATTTTTCGTTTTTCCCTTCATGCAGAATTTGGAATATGCCTCCTTGCATCAAATGAAGCAGAAATGATAGCACTTATTTTTTGAGTATTTAGGTAATTTTCTGTTTCCTTTTTGAAGAAGCCTTGAAAAAGATATTATACCCACATTTTGGTCTGCAATTTGTCCTAGAAGTTCTTCTAGAGTGGTCATAACTATGATATCAGTTAAATAAAAAAAAAATAGTACTTCGCCTCAGCTGATTTTGCTGCTTGTCTTTACATGGGTAATGGAAGTACAAAATTAAGAGCTGAAAATTCTCCCTAATTTTTGGCTTCAGAATTGAATCACAGCAGACAAACTTTACAGAAGTAAGTAGATAAGTGCTTTTGCCCATACACATCAGCCAAAACTGCTCATTATTTCTGCAAATGAGACTGAATGCCTTACAACAGGCACACAGAAAATAAATTTTAAAATTCTTGTATTTTAAAAATACAAGAATAAATTAAAATAAGTTAAAGCTTATTCAGGCTTTTTTTTTTAATTAATTCTAATTCTGACAGAGTGATGAATAGGCCGGATCTTCAGGACAGAATTTAACTATCTTAACCATCTATTTTCTCTTCCTTTCACATTTTTTTTTTCCTTTTTGTACAATAAGTACAAAGTTTTGCAGCAAATGAAGTTGCACCGTATTTTTCTTACATGCCCATGACTCACCCAACACTACAGGGAAAGAAGCAGCATATAAGCAATAATCATGACATGAATATTTAAACTGGGTTCCAAGGAAGAGTCAACAAACTGCAAAACAGTAAGCGTGATGCTGTTACTAAACAAATCAGAAGTTTCCTTAAAACCCAGAATGACTGGACAAAATGGCTCATGGGAAACCATCACAAAGAAACAACATTATAACAGGATAAGCAGCATGGCTTTCAAGTGTAAGAAATTATTGTTTAGAAGAAAGAAAAATTTGTGCCAGGAATATAGTATTTTTAGTTTTCAGAACTCATGTCATCAGGTGATTTCCACAGGCATCTGAGCTCAGTTCTACACCTGCCAATAACTGACATGTCAGATAAATGACCTAGGAAATGGGGATGAGAAGTGAAGTGACAGTTGGCTGATGCTGATGAACTATTCAAGGACTAAAACAACTGACTGCAACCTGCAGAGGCACCTCATGAGCAATAGACTGAGAGCAAGGCAAATGAAATTCAACAGACTGCAAAGGAAAACTCAATCCTAGTTTAATATATTAACTGACAGACTCAGAAATGTTATCTTGAAGATGTAAACAATACAAAACCAAACTGAGCCTAACAAGCAATCCACCTCTACTCTCCCTGAGCCTAGAGGTACCTCTTCTTTACCGACAGCATGGTCAAACACTGGAATAGGCTTCTGAAGAGTGATACCTCATGTCTGTCAGTATTTAACAGCCATTTGGACAAGACCCTTAATTACAAGCTTTAATTTTCAGTCAGCTCTGAATTGGTCAGGCAGCTGGAGTGGATGATTGTTGTAGGACCCTTCTAACTGAACTTTTCTGTTCTATTCATCAGCTATTAAATAGGCAAATCAAATACTAAAAACTTTTAGTCTGTAAGTAGGAAATGCAATGGAAATGATGACACCACTTCATTTTATTTACTTGACATAGACAGACACAGTGGGGTCTCTCAAACCACAAGTAACATGGAAAAACTGATTAAGAAAAACTGTTCACTTTCTTCCTACACAAGAGGATGTGAATATTAAGTGAAATTGACAGGAGACAGTCTCAGAACCAAAAGAGGACAGTCTCCACTCAGATGGGGGATGCCGTGAATGACAGATTTTCACATGGGTTAGAAAAACAACTTAACAAGCTCATGGAAGAGAACCACAGATCGATACTACTTCTCACTCAGAAGTCTGAGCAACAGACCAATAAATCTTCACAACACACTTTGGAAGGCATCACTCTTGGCTTGCTCTAGCCTTACAACCTTCACTAGATACCTACTGCTGGGACAGGGAAGGAAAACAGAAGAGATGTTTGCTAAATTGACCTTTACCATGCAATTAGGAAGCATTAATAAAACATCTGAGCGAAACTGTTGAGTTAAGGTAGCACATATGCAGTTTTACGTCTGCTCCTTATATATCAAGCAACAAAACAGGTACAAGAAAGAGCATAAATACTGACATTCTAGTTCACCAGCTATTTTGGAACTTTTATGTTACATGTTTAAGTTACTTAAGCCTGAACTAATGAAGTATCTGACACCAACATCACATTCTGCCTCTCTGTAGATCTGACCATTGAACAAGAATAAATTCTGGGTTTGCCTTAGTGTTGGCTGTTCACCCAGTAATTCTCATTTGATCTGTCTCCTACAGGCCATTTCCAGTTTCCACCCCAAAGATCCATTTCCCAAGCTTCTCTCTGGCCTTTGCCATCTCTCTCCAGAGATCACTGCTACCATGCCTTTCAAAGTGCAGCACTTCAATTGTTATGCCCTTTTCATATTTTGATTCATCATCCTCTTTGACTTTCAGCTTTATTTTCTCTGTCTAACACAATGGATCATTGTCAGGTCTGTCAGTGCACCAGTTGTCCCTCAGTTCTAATCCTCTATCAGTCTAATAACTATCAGTCCCTCCGAACTCATCCAGTCCTTTTCAAATACAATTTCTTCTATGGGATCAAAGACTGATTTGCAGGTTTATGCACCAGTAAGTCTCCGAATCATAGTTTTTGATCACTTAGCTATAATGCCTTTCTGCACAAGTAAGAGCACAAGGGAGGCCAACACAGGAGAGGCAGAGGAATTGGCAGTACTCAGAAGAGCTACTGCTCCAAAAACCTGAGTTCTTGAGGTGATCCCTTTTCCAACAGGACACAATACAACCAACAGCATTTCCAGTTTTAATCCATGTTAAACAGTAATATATCTCACAGCTATGTTTATATAACATGTAACAGAAAACATGGGAAAGTGTGCATTGGGAAAGCATCCCAAAAATGCCTATGACTTCATACCCGTCTGCCAAAAGAAGTCCACTTATACTGTGGCAAAAGGTTGTTTATGTTCTTCTACAGAATACCTTTACCCTAGTAGTAGTAGTCCACTGAAGCAGTAAAGTCCACTGAACCCTACCTAGAAAGGCCAGAATCTATGAAGAATTTTCAAACCTTTATCTTTGAGGCTGGTCATAGAAACAGCAAAATGGAAAAACATTTCCTGCTTTTGACAAGCATATGTCAACACTTCACTTAAGCAGAGCAACAGTGAGAGGGGTGCAGAGTCTCAGCTTCAGCTGCAGTGCAGATCAGATCACATTCACTCTGCGAACCGTACGTCTTACAAACGAGCATGAATGCCAACAGCTGAATTGAAATGAACAATGCTCATGATCAGGAACTGAAATCACCTGGAAATGTCAGGTATGAAGCAAGCCTTCAGGCAATTTTTATGGAAACTCCAGTCATACAGGAAGTAAAAGCTTGTCCAAAATTTGTAACAGAAACTCCAGTAAAATTTAATACAGTGAGTAAAGGTATTTTTGAAATTATATCAAAGAATAAAATCATGCTTATTTGTAACATGGCTTCTGATTTGCCTTTTATAAGTATGTACACTTATAAAATACATGTATTATATGTACTCCTAAATATGTAGGAGTAAAATCCTACATATTACAGTCTGCTATAGTTCAGGTTTTGTTTCATTATTTTTCATTATATTTCATTCTTTTGTTTCATTATTATTCCTAGATATGTATGTGGACACTGATATAGTAAGTTGGTAACACAGAGTAAAAAGGTGGCACCTGAAAATGAGGCTCCTTGAGTATTCCAACCAATTCTGCAACATTTTCATCCTTATTTACTAAGGGACTGATGTCTTCAAGAATTTCATTCACCAGCTCCAGGTTGTTGTCACTGACAGCCTCAAGTTTAGAATCTTCCAGTCGCTCGTGAGCCTGTAAGATTAAATACATGAGACTATAATGTAAATAAGTTCCAAGTGGTTCAGATTTATCAACTTCTCAAGTAATTTCTCAGTGCAATCTTAAGCAGAAAGGCCAGAAAAATTATACATAGGATAACCTGATTTAACTGCTGAAGGATTTTGCATGCTCCACTACAGGACCAAACAAACTTTATAAGCAGCACATACCAGCAAGCCTTGTAAGTCCTTCTCTATGCTATACACACACCAATCACTCTATCAAGAGTACAGCACCTCAGGACCTTTCCAGCTTTGGAATCCTGGACAAGTACACCTTCTAGAAGAAGGGCAAAAAAGAAGCTATGGGATCTTTTCAGAGTCTGCAAGAAAACCATTTACCTCAGACTCCTCCCATTCAAACACCCTTTGAACAGCATATTCTACACAAAAATCTGCCTAACTGAAGGAAATGCAAAGGCAGCTAGCAGTATCCTGGGCTGCACTGAAGTGTTACTAGAAGACTGAGTGGTACTCAGCACTAGCGAGGCCACACTTGAAACACTCTGGACATTCTAGAAAGAGCTCAGTGAAGGGCCACAATTATGATGAAGGGTCTGGAGCACCTCACATTTGAGGAAAGGCTGATCAAGCTGGGACTGCTCTGCCTGGAAAAGAGAAGGCTCAGGGCCGTTGAAGTCTCATCAACGTGTATTAAAGGTATACTATGCAAAGAGGACAGAGAGCCTGTTTCCAGTTGTGACGGGTGACAGGACAGCAGGCACTGGGCATAAAATGAAACTCGGGAAGCTCTGCCTGAACATCTCAACACTATTTCCAGTGTGATGGAGCACTGGCACAGGTTGCCCAGAGAATATGGGAGTTTTCTTCCTTGAGGTACTCAAAAGCTGTCTGGATGTGGCCCTGGGCAACCATCTCCAGGTGGCCCTGCCTGAGTAGGAAGACTTGGACTAGATGCCCTCCAGAGGTCCTTTGCAGCCTCAGCCGTCCTATGATTCTTTGATAACATTTCATCTATTTCTAGAGCTGTTCCTACAGACATAATCCTTTCCTGAACTCTGCAGATACTGAAATTCATTGAAAGGTAGGTGCTTTGAGCAGGAAGAGAAGCATCTCTGAATGCTTCACTTATTTATTACAGACAGTGCTCTATCATAAAATTAGGGAGTAAGAGGAGGCAGAAATAACTCAGATTCTCAATTATAAGTTATTTTCAACACTGTAGAAACAAGAAATTTACAAAGGAGCAATTACTTTGGCATATAAAAAACAAATACATAATAGTTGTAATTTAGAATCATATATATATATACTTCCCATAGATAAAATTTGAAGGTATGCAAGCACTTCTGCTCTCTTTTATTGTCTGCTTTAAAACAGACAATAAAATAAAATTTTGCTAAAAGCAGAAAACTTTGCTTCCTGAAATCATCTGAGTATTAAATTGTACTTCATATCTATAAAATGCTGTTTTTGCAGGCCTGATGACCAAACTCTGGAAAGGTTAACTTAACATAAAGGCATTTCAAACATTCTCTAACACCAACACACACAAACCAAACGACTGTGATTACAAAGATAGAGGAAGCTCAGCACCTACACACATTGTCCTTTATAAGGGAATGCTATTTTGTACAGAATACATACAGTAAACAATATCCTTCTTTTACAGCAAGTAAAAACACAAATCTAGTGATTTTTAAACACAACCAATAGCAAAACCTTTATAAGATTAGAGAATATGGGTTGCCTTTTTTCTCACTCATTATTTTCAAAAAAACACCACTAACACTGAGTGATATAATCTAAATACAAATATACTCACCCTTCACTCCAAAATCAAGACCATGTATATACTAGGGAACATTAATTTTTACTAGTGAACAATCTCTGATCCTGTAATATGTTAAGGAGTAACAGGATACAGAATGGTATGAATAAAAAAACAAAAAAAAACCAAACGAGTAGGAATACCTAACTTGGACATTGCAATTTTTTTTTTTCCATTTCAATTGAACATTTCAGAAACATTAATACTGAATTGAGCCTTTCTGTGCATTCAGTATTTATCATACCTGACAAATGTTCAAATAGGCTTTTAGGTAAGGCTTTTACCTACAACAATCTGACATCTTAAATACTGGAGTAAACACTTAAAGATTATTCCCAAGGTGTTTCCTTGGCCTGGGCTGGGCGTTCACTTGGTCTGCAGTAGGCTATGCTACAATGCTGAAAGCAATAGTGTGAGGGCAGAAAGAAGATAATGTTTTGTGGTTTGAAAGAATAGTTAACAATCCAGGAGAAGAGAATTTTGACATCATAGTTCAGTAGCAAAACTGAGGAGAATTCATGTTTTTTCTAAGTTCAACAACTGTTTTCCAAAAATCATATTAATTCTAAAGACTAGTTAGGATTGAACACAAACATCAGCACAGGAAAGATATGGAGTTGGGGTTGTTAAGTCTGGAAAAGAGAAGACTCTGGGAAGATCATATAGCAGTCTTTCAATACTTAAAGGGGGCTCACAAGAAAGATGGGAACAAACTTTTAGTAGGGCTTTTAGCAATAGGATTTGGCATAATGATTTTAAACGAAAAGAGGGTAGACTGAGACTGGATATAAAGAAGAAGTTTTAGGATGTGTGTAGTAAAACACTGCAAAAGGTTGCCCAGAAAGGCTGTAGATGCTCCATCCCTGGAAAAAATCAAGGTCAGGCTGGATGAGGCTGAGCAACCTCATCCAGCTGAAGACGTCCCTGCTCATTGCAAGGGGGTGAGACAAGGTGGCCTTTATTAAAGTCCACTTCCAACCAAAACTACTCTATGATTCTATAAATATCAGCGACAAGAAAAAAACATTTTACAATGGTAACAGTTAGTTCTCCTTTCCTCTACTACCTACTGAAAAGTGGAAAGGTTCAGTGAAAGAATCCTATCCCAAAAAATATGTCATTTCTACCTTATTGCCTTTAATCCATAAAGGAAACGTATGAAATTAATGTAACCCAGTTTTAAAAGATCAGCCACACCACACAGAAAAATACTATAAACTAACTACTATGCTTATTGTTTGCCTTCATCTATTTAAGGACCAAAATAAAAAAAAAATAAGTTTGTATAGCTTGTGGCACATTTCCCCAAGTTTTTTATTGCCCTTTCTGGTGTACTCTACATAATGATTAGTCTTAATAATTGGCTAATAAAGGCAAACGAAAAAGCTTTTGCATTTCTGGTCTGCTTTGCAATGATTCTGCTTAAATAATGTAACCATCTCAGAGAACTGCTAATTCTGGTAAAACCAGCTCTTCTAATAGGAAAACAAGTTTATGTACTTTTAGGGACAAATCAATATATATGTGAATTACACATGCTTCACCAAATGTGTTTTGATCTTATCCTTATTTAGCACTGCTGGTTAAGACTGAGGATATTTCCAAAATAATTACGAAGAAAATATGAGTGCAGTCACACCATATGAACACAATTAAAACCTTTAAGCATTCTTTAAGCATGTGTACAGTTAAGAATCTGTTTCCATTACAAGCACTTTTTTTACATCTGCTAGCCATTAAATTCCACCTAATTGTTATTGGCCAATAAAGTAGAAATTCTTGATATGAAAAAAAAACTTTGCAATGAACATTTTCTACATGATAAATATTAAAGATGACCTACACAGCAGATACTTAAGTTGTTTCCATTGTCAGTAAAAAAATGCTTTTACTTACTCTAGTAAATTTAGTACACAAATCTTTCCCTGTGCAGTCATCTCAGCAGCAGAGAAGATACTTCCATTACTTCTATTACTGTGCAATGTCTTCAGCTTAAAACCAATTTTTTGAACAGCTAAACAGAAGTAAATTCTTCTATGAATTCTCATGAGAAGTTTTCCTTTCCATATTTTTATACTGAACAAAATCCCAGGCCAACAATCCTTTAGCTTTACAGAGGATTTCAGATCTGCCCAGAGGGCACTGCTTTCACATGTCTATTCCTATTAAAGAGACAGCTGTATTTAAGTTAACTGGGTTTTCTCCATGAAAGGAGGAAATCTTACTTTTTATGAACTAAGATTAAGAACGAATATAAGTGATGTACAATATTTGAATGTATTTCCTACTAGTAAGACCAACTACATTTTAATTACAGAGTCCAAAGATTTTTTTTGCAAATATCACCTTACATATTTATAATTGATTGCTACCACCCATACATTAAAGATTCCTGTAACCCAAGGACAAAAACTTAAGATAATCCATGTTTTAGAGAGATGACAATCAAAGGTAAAAGCATTAGTCTGAGATCCAGGAAAGGGCATGGAGAAAATATTTTTCTGGCATATCAAAGCAGTTTTGAGGTAAAGATGAAAAGAAAACTTTTTTAAGCCATGGATAATGAAGGTGACTGCTCCCACTTTTCATCTCTGGCAAAAACACTACAAGTCAGAAGGCATATGGGTTTTGCACACAACAGTGGTTACAAGACTACATTAAAATCAACTGCTTCTAATTTCAAATATTATGATTTTTTCTTCATAAATAATGTAACCACATTATTTCTGTAGTCTCTGAATTTTTCATCTTCCTCTAGATTTTTCTACACAACAACCAGCATGCACAGAAATTACACTATACCAACTCTTCACCTTCAAGCTGGCCTTCAAGTCTTTTAATAACATGTACCAACAATGTGTTCTTGATACCTCAATCCACACTCGGTGTTCACACAATAATGCAAGAGTTAAAACATTCTACTCAAAGCAGCAAATTTAAATACCTTAGCAAGTGATCTTACGATAGGGTTTTCCATAATTCCTTTAAGAAATATCAGGTCTATTTCTTCAGCGCCTGTCGATGTTGGCAGATCAGTAAGGTTGTCTAAGACCTGCTGCATGGCTGCTGACAAAACAAAAACAAAAAGTAAATACTGACCAAAACAAGCTTCCATAAGGAGCAAAAGCTCTGGGAAACACCACAACATTAACTTTAAAGATACTAAGCAGTCAAATACATCTACTGAGAGCAAGGGGACAGAACAGAAAAAGTACTTTTTGTGTGCGTGTGTCTGATAAATGGAATAGAGGTTGTATCCAATTGAATCCAGGCCCAGCACATTCCTTCCAAGATTTGCTACTAAGCATTGAAAAAACAAACAAGTATAAACTATGTATAAGGTATGCATAATCTTCCAAATACAATAAAAGCAACTCATTCAGTACTCTTTTCATTTCATCTTTTTCAGGAGACGTTTCCAGCCCTCATACATACAGCAACCCACAAGTTTTACAGTGCTTGTAGAGGCAGATTCACTGCTTTAAAAATAAACACATAATTCCAAAACATTTTTTTTAAACCAAAAATTTTCTTCCAAGACAGCTCTTAATGTGGGGAGCAGTCCTTTACAGCCATTCCTGACCCACTGCACTCTGGCACTAGGCGCACATGGTAACACTGACCTGGTCCCATAACACACTGCAATGGGAAGTACATCTATAAAAGAGAAAGGCACCATGCCTGCCCAGTACCCTCAGACTTGCTGAGAGAGAACTGCTCTTGGCTGAGAGTGAGCAATGCTGCCCAAGGAAATGTCAGAAAATGCCACCATCCTATCTGTCTGGTCCTCTGAAGTCATCGAGGTGAATTAAGAGAATTTGTTCTCGTTCTTAACTTTATTCTTTCAAGCTCCTGCCAAGTTAAATATGCACGCTCAAATAGACACACATAGGTGTACTAACAGAATCTCCTGTTGAGATCTCCGACAAGCTCAGAAGCCTTGGAATAACCACTGTGTTCTGCAATGTTCTGCATGTTGCAGAGTAGTATATATCAAGAGAATTAGAAAAGCCTATATGACCCTTCTCCCACACAGGAATTTACCCTTAACTTTCCTCACTGCTTTATAATGAAAGCTATTATGAAACTGCACAGTAACAGAACAGACTGCATTTCTCAACACCTACTTTCTGATTCCAATTCTTCCTAGAAAATTCCATCTGAAGAAAAAACTTTCTGGCCATTCTTTCTGTTAAGTGGAACTGACTTTCCAACAAGCAAATCAACTAATGTGCCACATTTTAACTACAGCAGTGCATGTCAAAAGCCCTGCATTATTTTAAATGTTTTAACCACACTTATTGTTTCAAAAAAAGTGAATTTTCTGTGAAACCATGAGTAGGAGGGAAAATGACACTTTATGCTTTCAGATTTTGAAGCAGCATTATTTCTACCTTGTAACAAAGTCCTGTCAGCAATCACACATTACAAAAAGCCACAAAATTACCGTATAAACAGTCCACAACTTCCCCAGACTAGGTATGTCCTATATCCTGACTAGTCCAGCTGCAGATGCAACTGCCTTCTTTCACATTTTCTCAATTCCCAGCTTCAGACTCGTGACTTTTAATGCAGTCATGCAAGCTGTAATATCTGCAGAAGCAGGCAGATGTTTCTGGCCAATTTACGTCATAGGTGCTGCATAATAATGCAAGTGTTAGAATAATAAGTTTCTTTACATTTTTAACAGTTATGTAAATTCTTTTCAAGGGATTTCAGGTTAGCACTTTTTCTACAATAAATAATCAGAGAAAATGTAAAGCTTCCTTGAAGTCAAAGTATGTACCTCAACTACCAGCTGCAATTCCAGCACTTGATGATGACAGAAACATCTATAATAAATGCATTCTTCATATTATCTCCATGATAATATCCTGTTTCTTACTTAAGCCTTTCAGAATTCTTAGATCAAATTAAAAAAATATAGTCCCTTACATAAAAACTTTATCATCAACAAGAAAACGTTAAGAGCAATGTTAAGCTTCAGAAAAATGTCTTCATGCAAGTAGGGTGTTTTTAACATAAAGGTTTGATAAAGGTTTGACAAACATCTAGCATCAGAACTACTTAAGTATATTTCAGTACTCTTAGAAAACAGCAACTAGCTTTATCAACATGCAGAGTTCAAAAAATTCACGAAGGCAGACTTGCATTCCAGATCATCAAAACCAAAAACAGTTCTCAGAAACAGCTTCCCATAGTTGTGTTTTGGTTGTCTTGTCTCACGGCACAGCCATCATGGCAAGAGTTTTTTAGCTATAAACAGTGTTAACTCAATATTTAGAAAGCAAACCAAAAAGGCAGGATAAGACACCTTTACTCATCCTGTATTGTTTGTTTGAACACAATATGAGGTTCAATATCGCCTCAGCGTAGATAGTTCCCCATCTTAAAGGGAAGATCTTTATAAGTAGTTGAATAAAAAAATATCTTTAAGTACCCCTTTATTTTAATCAGTTATAATGTTAAGCAAAAAAAACTTTAGCATGAGAGAAAGGTTAAGCTTCAACAGTCTTTGCACCAGTTACCTGGCATATGGAAGGCAGAGGAACATTTATATGCTTCACCATGTTCCACTGCTTTACACTCACCTGGCAAAAAATTCAGAATATGATCAAATGTAATTTGCCAAAAAATCATCAAGAGCATATTCCAACAGGAATGTCTGTTGGTTTATTTAAAAAGAAGAGATCACAAAAACATGGGTATTTTTTTGATGGACTAGACAAAGCATTTTAATCTCAGTGTTTAATGTGCATTATACAAGTTAAGGGCCACTTTCAATTACAGTTCCTGTTTAATGTGAAAATCTGGTATTTGCTCACATGTGAAAACAGCTTTGAAAGTCTAAGCAACATACTGACTATGTATGCCTTAGATATTCACACATGTACTTTCAAATAGTTTGATTTATCTAAAGACTAAGGGCAGAGGTGGGAGGAGGCGAAGACACTCTGAGAAATGTATTATGGAACAACTTCTTCTGTATCTATTCAAGAGGCTTTTGCTTATTCATTTCTAGGGGAAGAAATATTCTATTAGACAACAAGCAACAGGAGATACTTTGTTTCCAGGCTTAATTATAATGATCTTTCAGAATAATGTAGATACACATGGAATTTCAAGTAGCACTCTTTTAAACAATTTCACTTTTTTCTTTCCAGGGGTAAAGCCACCTTAGCACTTTTAGAATAGTATCTTATCTTATTCCTGAGCAGCAGGAATGAAAGCTGAAGATGAAAGTACTTATGTAGGAAAGTTTTACTTAAAAGATCAGATCCTACCAAGCAAGAAACAGATGGAACTAAGGAGTTTTGAGACTACCAAATCTAAATATCCCATCAAAAATTGCCTTTTGAGCCGCATATCTCTTTTGTGATGAATCTGCCCTTGAAATGTTGATAGAAGTTACTCACTGGGGGGTAGAAAGCCCTGTAGAACTTACATTTAAGTCAGGCATATTGAAGAACTAAGGGCTACACGAACAAACTGCATAAACCAGGTTGTCAGAAGTGTTCCTTATTGTTGGGTACTCTGGCGTACAATAAAAAGGAAATGCATACTTTTCCTTCAGTGGAAAATAATTGGGTCTCATTGGGTCTCTCTTCCCTCTCTTGTCCCATCTTTCACAGGAAAATAATAAGAACGTACTGACTTTGAGAGATCTACCATTCACCTCCCTCTCTCTCTGAAGACGAGCCTATTTCTATATTCAAAGACCCATCTGGGGAAAACTCTAAACTCTCATCACAACACATAAGGATTTGCTTTTCTGAGGACACCATGAGATAGGCATGGCTGACTACAATGGTTAACAAAACCACCTAGGAACACACATAATACAAGAAACACACTGACAACAGCCTCCAGACACACCAGGGGGAACCAGGTAGCAGAAACAGACTCTCACTTGAGGCAAGGTGCTGAAATAAAGGGATTCTTAGGAAAGAGTGACAACAGAACTGAGTCTGAGCTGGGAATCCTAAGAGAAAATGAGATTACAACAGGCCTCTCTTCACTCCAGCCCCCGGCTTTCGTGACAGGGAATGCACACAGAATTAGTTTCCACAGTCAATTTTCAAAGAACATCTTCATAACTGCAGCAAGTTTAAAGCCTCAAGCAAGACTCAGCAGGAACATACTGGTGCACGGTGTACATGCACTGAACAATTTATTCCTACTATACATATGACCCCACGTTCAGGGAAACTAGTTTGTCATTTGAACCCCGTTTCAAAAAGTGAAAAGGGGTAAAGAAATGTTAATTGATCTCTGTGGCAAACAGCACGCATACTGAGGTGTGGGAATACAGAAACCCCACTTCCTAATGCAAAATTTACTAACCAGAATTAAATCCTTCTAATTCCCGCAGAGTACTTCAGACAACCAAAGGATGTTTCAAAGGTTTAATCTACACACCATACCTTACAATAGTAAGTTCAGATCAAACAGACGTAAAAGATACCCTGAAAAGAACTCTTTTCTTCTTGTAATTGTAAGAAAAAATCAGGTTTTTGCCATGCTCTCAGCTGTGATTCTTCTACCAAATTTGATTTTTATTCTTTCTTTCAGTGCCTAATTCTTGTCTACATTAATTCTACATAGAGGAAAGAGGAAGCATACATTTAAATAAATTTTTCAGATTTTCAGACAGAAGACAAATGTGTCACTCACTGGGGAAAATTAAAGCTTTTCAGAGTGAATACCTTGCACAGATTTTTTTAGCTCAGTTTCATTTTATTAGTCTCCAAGCTTACAAAATAACAGGAATGAAAAGAAAATGATGTATAATATATTTAAATAAACATGCATATTTATTTCCACATGGCCTACTCATCTGGCTAGGAAGTTATAATAAATACCTCAAGGACTACTGGAGATGCAGGTACTCCACACAAAGTCTAAAAAGTTAGATTAAAATCTTGTCACATACATAAACTTCAGAAATAATTTCTTGTGTGATTTAAAACCTTTTCAAGAGGGATATATTAAATTTTCGCAAGACACACAATAAGCTCACACAAAAGAAGATTAATTTGTAACCTCAACAGCCCTTAACCAACGAG